TGCGATTGGCACAGGATAGAGCAGGGTTTAGGGCTGTTGTACATAGGGTCGCTATGAGTTGCAAATGACTCGACGGCACATAACAACAACAACAACAATTATTGGATTCTATTGGCCAGGATTTTATTCGGGATTTTTGTATCTATGTTCATGAGAGATATTGGCCTGTAGTTTTCTATTTTGGTGGTGTCTTTACCTGGCTTTGTATCAACAATATGTTTGTTTCATAGAATGAGTCTAGAAAAATTCCATCTTTTTATATTTTCTGAAATAGTTTTTGTAGAATTGGTGATAGTTCTTCTCTGAATATTTGATAAAATTGAATTGTAAAACCATCTGGTCCAGGGCTTTTTTTGGCTGGAAGTTGTTTTTTGTACTTTTTCAATTTCTTCTTTTGTAATGGGTCTGTTCAGTAGTGGTTCAATTTCGGATTGTGTCAGTTTAGGTAGGTTGTGAATTTCTAAGTATTTGCCCATTTCCTCTAGGTTTTCATATTTGTTTGAGTGAAGCTTTTCATAATATTACATTGTTAGGGAGCTCTGGTGGCCTCTCGGCAAGAAGCTGTACTGCAATTTCAGAGGCGCACGGTTCGAATTCACCAGATGCTCTGCTGGAGAAAGAGGGGCAATCTCCTGTACCAGTCAGATCCAATTTGATGGTACACATAGACACAAATAATAAAATAAAATAATTTTTTAAAACAAGATATACTGTTACATTTAAAAAATATTACATTATTAAGCTTTTTTATTTTAGTTGATTCCATTCTGACATTGCCCATTTCATCTCTTATTCAGATTATTCATGTGTTTTACTTCTTTTGTTTTGTTAGTTTTGCTAGTGGTTTGTCGATTTTATTGGCCTTTTCAAAGAACCAGCTCCTGGTTTTGTTAATGGTTTCAATTGTTTTTCTGTTTTCTTTTTCTTTTATTTTTGCTCTAATTTTTACCATTTCAGGTTTTTTTGGAGGGTTCTAGGTTTTGTTGCTGTTCTTTTTCAATTTGCTGGATATGTCGGGTTAGAGAGTCATTGGTCATTTTTTCCTGCCTTTGGACGTGTTTGCTTATAGCTATAAATTGATCTCTGATTACTGCTTTGACTGTTTCCCAGAGGTTTTGGTGAGTTGTTTTCATTGTCATTTGTTTTAAGAAACTTTTTAATTTCATTTTTTTATTTCTTCTAGTACTCACTCTTGTTCAAGATATTGTTCAGCTTCCAAATATATGGGTTTTTCTCCTTTATCCTCTTCTTATTAATTTCTAATTTTGTATCATTGTGGTCTGAGAAAGTGCTTTGTATTATTTTTATGTTTTTTAATTTATTGATGCTTGCCTTGTGACCTAAAACATGGAGAAGAATGTATATTGTGCTTTTTTGGGGTGCATTAGCCTATAAATATCTAAGAGATTGATCTGGTTTATTGTGTGATTTAATTCTTCAGTGTCTTTGTTGAGTTTCTTTCTGGTAGTTCTTTCTTTTCTTGAGAGTGGTGTATTGAAGTCTCCAATCACTATAGTAGTGTTGTCTATTTCCTTTTTTAGTTTTGTTAATGTTTGTTTTATATATTTTGCAGGTCTTTCATTTGGTGCATAACTATTTATTATTATGTCTTCTTGTTCTATTGACCCTTTAATCATTATGTAGTGACCTTTCCTGTCCTTTGAAATGGTTTTTGCCTTGAAAAAGATTAGGAGATTTAGAAGAGATTAATATCACTATTCCAGCTTTATTCTGGTTACCATTTGCTTGGTATATAATATTTTCCCACTCTTTCATTTATTTTCATTTCATTTTCTTTCTTTATTTTCCCTTTTCAGGTGTGTCTCTTCTAGACAGCATGTTGATGGATTTGGGATTTTTATGTCCAATCTGCTACTCTTTTTTAAACCATTCACATTCAGTGTGATTATTGAGAGGCAAGGATTTATTGCGATCATTTTGTTGAGTTATTTTTAGTGTTGTTGCTGGTACTTTAGTCCATCCTGTTTTCTGTGGCACTATGTAAGGATGTCTCTCAGTGTTTCCTGCAATGCTGATCTTGTTTTTATAAACTCCCCTAGGTTCTGTTTTTCTGGGAATATCTTGATCTCTCCATATTTGGTGGACAATTTTGCTGAGTACAGTAGTCTTGGTTGATAGTTGTGTTCTTTGAGTGTTTGATGTATGCCATTCCATTGTCTTCTTGCTCACATGGTTTCTACTGAGAAATCAGCATTCAATCTTATTTGCTCTCCCTTATAGGTTACTCTTTGTTTCTCCCTCACTGCTTTCAGAATTCTCTTCTTCTCTTTGGTTCTGGCAAATTTGACTATGATATGTCTTTCAATTTCTCTTTTGGGGCCTCTTCTATATGGTATTCACTCAACTTCTTGAATATACTCTCATTCTTCATTATACCTGGTAAGTTTTCTTCTAATAATTCTCCCACAGCTTTTTTTGGTGCCTTTAGGTGTTCTTTTATTCTGGGATTTCGATTATGTTCATGTTATTTCTCTTGATGGTGCCCCACATTATTCTTAGATTTTCTCCTTTTTCCTTGCTTTTTGATTCTGCTTTTTGCTCTAGCATATCAGTGGTGACAATTCCATCTTCTATTTCACTGGTTCTGTGTTCCATCTCTTCAACTCTCTTCATGTGTCCCTCCATCATGTTGATAGCATCTGAAACTTTGGACCTCATGTTTTGGATTGTGGTTTCTTGTTTTTCCAGAGCCTCTAATGCCTCATTTGTATTATCTGCATTGTTTTGGATTGTTTTTTTAAACTCCTCCTGGTTTTTGCTTGTTTTTTTTTAAAAAAATTCTTCAAATTTGTCTTTAACCCATTGAAAATATTCAATCATTCTTTTTTTAAATTCTGTGTCAGAAAGTTTCATCAGACTTTCTGGCTTCAGGAAATTCATTGATACTGTGTCACTTTTGGGGTGACATCTCGCTTTGGGATTGTGTAGGGGGTGAGGTAGCATGCTTCCTACGTCACATTGCTGTGGTAGTTTTTCCATGTCTATGGCCATAGCAGGTTCTTGATCTGAAGTCACTACTCTCAAAGAGAGTGTGGCAGCTACCCTGCCTTGGTTTCTCTCTGCCTTCTGACCCAAGGGAAGATCTGCTTAAGTTCAGTAGAGAAAAGGCCTGTGAAAGCAGCCTTCTCTATCAGACAACCCCCACAGCTAGGCTAGCACATAGTGCTCTGGGCTAAAGGCAGTTGACAGACTGGATGTGAGGAGATGCAAAGCAGAGCACAGAGACCTGACTGAAAAACTAGGAAGCCTTAGTTTTCCCTTCAAGAATGAGCTTCAGGTGTCTCACTCCTTCTTGATTAAGGTGTCCCACATGATCCAGCCAAACAGCAGTGACCCCCTACAGAGTACCTCACTAAAGTTCCAGCATCACTCCTGGCGCATGTTGCTCCCAGCACACATTAGTTGGTCTGTGTCAGGAGAGGAGGTTCCAGTGCAGGTTGTGGCATCAGGAAAGGTCCTGGCACAGACTAATGGCTTCAGGGGAGGAGATCCCAGCACATCAAGGCATACTTATTATTATTTGATTCTTACATGCCTGAATGTTATGAATAGGGTGACAGAAGAAAAATTGATGCCTTTGAGTTGTGGTATTGAAGAAGAGTACTGACTATCCCATGGACCGCCAAAAGAACAAACAAAGCTGTCTTGGAGGAAGTGAAACTAAAAGTTCCTGGTTTTGTTTTTGGAGTGTTGTGGGGTTTTTAAATACTAGTTTTTTCACAAAATTATAATACTTTGGTTTTGAGAACAGATTCTTCCAATTATAGCTTTCTGTTTTAAGGATGTGTGTGTGTCATGAAGACACACAGCTCCCAGGGAGAAGGACTGGCTTTTCTCAAGCTATCCAGAGAAGGAGCTTATAACTTAACCTGGGAAGCCCTTTGGATGTGATAGTTATGGTCAGGAAAGCTCAGATCTAGCTCAAATCCCTCAGATGTGGTTAGATTCAGTACTGGGCTTGCCGCTCTCTGGCAAGAATTCCTCTTTGCATTAGGGGACAAGCTGCCTCTTTGGGACCCTGCAGTACAAGAAGAAGTTGACAGTACCTGTATTATTTGCCATCCAGGCTTATATATGTGGGCATGCTCACTCTGTGCCATTACTAATCTCTGGGAAGCCTTTTACTTTTCTCCAGGCTAAATACTCCTATACTTCTTTGCTAGCACTGCTGTAACCAACTGCCTCACATGTAGTCCCTTAAAACAAGACAGATTTATTGTCTTGCAGCTCTGTAGATGAGAAGTCTGTCACGGGTCTCCTGAAGTTACAGTCAAGGCATTCATGAGTGTCATGTTCCTTTCTGAAAACTCTAGGGGAGAAAGCATTTCACTGCCTTTTCCAGCCTTTTGAAGCTGGTCCTTGACTGGTGGCCTCTTCCTCCATCTTCAAAGCAGGCAGGTCCTGTCCTGACCCTGCTTCAGTCCCATCAGTCCCTTTCTCTCCCTTACCTTCTCTTCTGCTTCCCTCTTCCCCCTTAAAAGACTTAGTGGTTATACGGGGTCCACCTGGATAACCCAGGACAAATTCCGTAACTGAATTCTGATTAGCTGGTTTTCAACTCTAATTCTACTTGCAAATTTAATTCCCCTTTTCCATGTGTAACATATCTATTTTTCTGGGGATATTAGCATCTTTGAGATCTATTACCCTGCTTTCAAAATCCCCAAATCTTCACTTCTCCTGGGAGAGTCAGGTATGTAAATTCTTCGCCATCTCCTCTAGGTCATTTCCTGGACTCCAGGAATAAGTATGATGTGCTTAAATGGCCACACCAAAGCTAAAATCAATTTGTTGATGTCATTGGGCTCCAAAATTCTGTCCATTGGAAGAATCTGGGGGATGTGGGGTATGGAAATCATAGAAATGAATAGCAAATGATATCTCAAATTGGTGACCTATTTGAGTTTGCAGGTGTGGATATGGTCCAAGGCCAAGTTTATCAACAGGAAGTTCCTGATGGAGGAGATTTACCAGAGCTTTCTTGATGGAGGAGATGGCCACGTGGCTCAAGAAAGCGACCCTTTCTGGGACCCTGTTGAGGTTGTGCATCTGGGCTCAGCTCACATTTGGCTCCAGTCTCTCGCTTACTGCATGAAGTCTGAGGAGCAAGTGGAGTTTCTCAACTGTGACGGGCTGGAGGAGGCAGTGCTGCATGTCCACATAACTCCCTGCTCAGTCACTGGACAGTGGGTATCTCCCTTCTCTCTGGTCCTAGTCCAGTTGTTGTTGTTATGTTCCATCAATTTGCCAACGACTGATAGTGATATGTACAGTAGCGCTGAACCCTTCCCTTTTCTGAGCCAGTCTCACTGTCTCTGACACATCTTCCCCTGTTGTCCCAATCACTGTGTCAATCCATCTCATCCAGGGTTTTCCTCTCCTGTGTTGTCCCTCCATCCTAGAAGAATTAGTCACCTCAAAAATTCATTGCAAACCTGATGTTTCCCAGATGGGACAGTCAGCATGGTCTTCAAGTTGTTCATTTATGAGATACATGAATAAACACATTCATTCATTAATTACTTCCTTTCATTAAATCTGATTTTTTTTTAAAGGTGAAAATACAGTTTGATTAGAAGAGATAAATCACAAAGAGCAAGATGGGTCATTCTCTGAGAGTAAAAAAGTGGAATGGAGGAAGACCTAAATCTGATTTTTGACCAACCCTGGAATATTTTAAATTCTATGCTCAGCAGCATTTGAGAGAGCTCAGCAACACACTGGGGTACAGGGGACTCAGAGAACGAGAAGGCCATCCCACAAATGGGGGTGGGGGTGGGAGAAGGAATTCAGGACCAGAACCAAGAGACACAGGTTGGTCCCACACACAGTCCTGTAGGACCAAGCAGCGAAGGGTGAGGTGGTCTCCCCTGATGGCCGTGAGGCCTGTCATCCGCCTTTCCCCATGCTGGTAAAGGACAGGCCCATTCTTGCTGGTGAGACCCTGAGCCAGAAAGCTGCTGATTTCTCAGCTTATCTCCCTCCATCCCTGGTGCAGGTGGTGGCCTCTTCTTCGCTCTCAGTCCTTTAAGTGGGGATTGGCATGTCTTTGTCTCCTTGTCCTAGCTGGCTGTCATCTAGTCTTCTATAAGCACAGACTTTGTTTTAATCTGTCATCCCCTTTCCTATCATCTGCTGGTGTTAACCTTTCACCCTCCTCTCAAGATAGTTCATCTGCTTGCTTGCTTTAGGCTATATGGGTGGACTTTCAGCAGAAAGGCTGGCAGTGACCTGGTCATGGTGGAAGGGACCCTGCAGTGCAACCCTTTTGACCTCCTGAAGGGAGGACTGAGGTGCAAAAGGGAATGAGAAAATCTTGAGACACCAAGTGATCAACCAAGTGATCAAGCCTTACAAGGACTTATCAAACAGCTTCCTTTCATTAATTCCTACACTAAGGAGTTGTGCTGCTAACCCAAAGGCAAATGGTTCGAATCCACTAGCTGCTCTGTGGGAGAGAGATGAGCAGTCTCCTCCCATGTAATTTACAGCCTCTGAAAACCTGCTGGAGGGTCAGCTATGGGTTGATTCTAACTTAGTGGCACATGACAACAATAGGCTGCCTGGTGGCCTCGCCAGTGTTGCTCTGCTAATCACAGGGCTGCATCTCCTGTGGTTCATCTCTTTCTTCATGACAAAGGTGGGCAGTCTCTTCTATTAGGGTTTCCAGCCTTAGAAACCTGATAGAGGGTCACTGTGATCATTTCTAAATCTACTGCAGTGACTATAATGAGCAGCCTGGTCATTGTATTTCCCAGCACAGGTTAGTAACTGGGGATTCTAACTGAGGTTGACATGAAAGAAATCTGCTTGAGAAGTGTCCAAGTTTGGTGTCTGAGTTTGTATGTCTTAAAATGACTCTGAACTATGAGGGATTCACCAAGGAGCATGACACCCTAAGAAGTGGTCTTATGAGTACGATGCCCTGAGAGACGATGTTGTGAACACGACATCCTAAGGGGCAGTGTTGTGGGCATGATATCCTGAGGGGCAGTGTTGTGAGCACAGTGCCCTGAAGGGTTGTGGGTATGACATCCTCAGCGGTGGTGTTGTGAGCATGTCTTCCTGAGAGGCGGTGTTGTAGACATGATGCCCTGAGAAGCAGTGTTCCTTTCTCTAATAAGCCCCTCTCTCCCACTGGATACCCATTAATCCCCAGTGTTCACTTATCAGGCACATCAGGGCACACTTGGTGCATGAGCTGTTTATTGTCATCCCCTTCCATCTTGCTTGCATGCATCCACCCATGCTCTCATTGCATCCTGGCTGAGCAGATCAATCCTTTTTGTGACTGGCAGTTTCATCCATTCTACCTTCAGAGGATCAGCTTTTCTTAAGGCATTTGTTTGATCCTGTTCTCTCTTCCTTTTCTGTTTGCAGAGAACATGGCGAGGACGATGTGGTCATTGACCCCTTGGAGCTGTTGGGAAAGAGGATTGACTTCCAGATTCACATTATTCAGTGCTTCGGTGTCAAGTGGTTGAAAGAAGACACCAAGCGGGGCATCCAGCTTGGGTATCAGCCTGCCCTGTGGCCCTGTTCACACAAGCCCATTACCTTCTGAGCCTGGATGGGGAAAGAAGTTCTTTAAACTCTTAAAAGGACTTTGTTATGAAAAGTTCCTGTTTCTCTGTTTCCTTAATGTCAAAATGACTGTTTTCCCCATCCATGTAATAAGTCTGTGTAACTGAGTAGGAGCTCTGGTAGCCTAGTGAGTAGGGGGTTGCACAGTTAACCCAAAGCTGGTGCTTCTTTGAAGGCTTGAATTCACCACAAGCAAAATGGGAGAAAGACAGGCAATCTCTTCCTGTGAACTTTATAGCCTTTGAGAAACCTGATGAAGGGTCAGCTATGGGTCAGTTCCAACTTGATAGCAGTGAGTCTGAGCTGTATTTGTGGGGTTTTTTTTAAATTATTTTAAGTAAGAAAGAGAGAAGTCAGTCTTGAGTCCCTCCACCTTGGGCTGTTACTAGAGTGATGAAAGCAACAGAATTGGAAAATCCGATCCTCAAAAGAACATTCAGTAAAACTGTATGGTCTAAACAGAAGCATTTTGTGGTGATTTTCTTTTTTTAAAAAAATTTTTTTAAATCAGTGTTGCCATAGCTTTGTAGCATATGTTGTTATGTAACAAGCCATAGTTGATCCTACTGAGTGTTCAGAGACGATGTTTTTATTGTTGTTATGTGCCCTTGAGTCACCTGCAACTCATAGCGACCCTGCTCTGTCCCTTGCCAATCTTTTTGTCTCCGACATGTCCAGCCCATTACCCCAGTGACTGAATCAATCCATCTCATTGAGGGTCTTCCTCTCCTGCACTGTCCCTCCACTCTCCCAAGCACGATGTCCCTCTCCAAGGACTGATCCCGCCTTGCGACATGTCCAAAATATGTCAGACATAGCCCCAGAATCCTTGTCTCCAAGGAGCAGCTTGGTTTCACCCTCTCAAGGATGAACTTGTTTGTTCTCCTAGCAGTCCATGGTATATTCAGTACTCTTCTCCAGCACCAAAACTCAAAGGCACCAACTCTCCTTCTGTCATCCCTAGTCATTTTCCAGCTCTCTGATGCATAACAAGTGATTGCAAAGACCATGGCCTGTATCAGGCACACTTTAGTCTCCAGACTGACAGAGTTGCTCTTTAGTACTTTGGATAGGTCTCTGACAGCAGACTTTCCCAATGCAATTTATCTTTTAATTTCTTGGTTGCTGGTATCAAGAGTGCTGACTGTACACCCAAGCAAACAGAAGCTGTCAACAAGGAAATAGCCCATTTCTCTCCTTCAGAGCAGCTAGTGGATTCGAATTGCATGCCTTTGGGTTGACAGCACAACCCCTTACCACTAAGCCACTGGAGGGCCAGCTCTGAGTCAGTTTGATGGAATATAACAACAACAATCTGCTGGCAGAGCCTGTTGCGCTGCTTACCAAAAACACTGAACTTCTCCAGTGGTTCAAATCCAGTAAGAGGTACAAGGGAGAGAAATGGTCGCCTCCTCTTGTTAAGATTTACACCTTAGAAATCTGATGGAGGGTTGCTGTGGGTCAGAACTGACTCGACAGCAGTGAGTCGGAGTTCATTATTGTTTAATTATCAACATCATCATCATTATTACTACCATGGCAGAAGCACACCAGATATGCTTAAACTAATGGGGATAAAAGGATTTAAGAAATTAAATAGTAGAGAGAGACTTTGAAAAACAAAATCCAAACAACTTCAGTTAACAAGTTCACCTGCAAAGTTAACAACTTTGGATTTTAAGGGGAGAGTATTTATGAAAATCCTTTTCCTTTTTGGCTAGATATTTACTATCACTCCAGTGGTGAGGACTCCCAGGCAGAGTGCTGAGGTGTTGGGGGCCATCACAGGCCTCAGACTGAGGCCATTTTTGTCTAACCCTTTTACTCACATATGTGTCCTGTCTGGTTTTAATGCACATCTATTGTTCTTTTTTCAGGTATAGAATTTATGATCTTCCAAACCCTTTGTATACCAAGGCTGTATGGAAAATTGTGAATCCCCAAATTGAAGAAACTGTCCAATTTGCAGCCTTACACGCATCTCTGGAGTTTCTGAACTATTTACAGACGAATGCTCTCATTGTTGATTTATGGGGCCTTCAAGGTAACATCCTGATGTGTATGGTGCATCCATACAGACAGAAGGTGTGCAGGGTGGGGCTGGAGAGGGGAAAGAGGGGAGCTCCCAGGGTCTTCTACAGCAGGGCCAGAACCATCTACGTGATTCTAGGCAAGCACGTGATTAAGTATGTGTTTTGATACATGCACACAGCTGAACTGTTCCTTCCTGACTGTTATCTCCCCTTGCCACAGAAGGCTGTGCTGAACTAAGTAGCTCCCAGCAGGACTTCGTTATCACAAGTGAAGGCCACATCGTGCTAGACACCAACATCACTTCTGATGTAATGGGTGCAGGCCAGGTATGTGTACAGCATATGTGAATTTTGAAACTGAGCAGCTCACACACAGAAATGGGTGATTTCAGCTCGTGGTTTCCATTTGAATCAAACTGTAGTCTGACCTAGAAACTTGTACTTCTTCTAAAGAGACAATTCAGTCTTCCTGTGAAAGATTAACTGGTTGTAAAACAAAGAGTCCAACAGTCAGGATTTTTGGCTTGGGTGCAGAATTATTTGTTAAAAGTGCCTCTTTAGGATGTGCTCAGCTGAGTCTAAAAGTATGCCTTCCTTAAGCAAGGAATCCTGGAGACTAGGAAGTACATTTGAAATTCACTTTAAAGTGAAGCCTATAAACAGCCTCATAACTCTGTAACCAATATGCATAAATAATAAGTCTTGATTCAAGTGTCCTGATTCCCAAATCACGTTTTCACTCCCTGGATTTCCTACTGTGTTCCTGCCAGCACTCTGTAAATTTGTAACCAAGGTAGAGACTAAGCTTGTTAAAGAAGCAGACTGCAATGGTAACAGTAAATCATCTCTGGCAGAATGCTTTGTTTAACAGCTGACAGGATAGGCCTACCTCAGATTCTAATACATAAGCTTGGCTATGAAAATATTTTAACTCCTAGTCTGACAAACCCTTTGTCATGCTGGGCATGCCATCTCTCTCCTCCTCTTACATCCCCACAAACACAAACCCTCTGTTTGCTATACTTTTTAATACAAATACACTTTCTCCTCAAAATTCAGAGCACTGTAGCATCTTTTTGGGGGAGGGTATTTTTAAAAAGTTTTTGTACTGATTTATTTAGAGTTTGAATAAATTTTAAAAAAATTTTGTACTAATTTATTTACAAAGTTTGTACAAATTTACTACAAAGTTTGAATACATTATTTTCACACCAGATCATTCACATTTACTTCACCCCCGCCCCATCGAATTGTGCAACCCTGTGATTAATACTCTCCGCCCCCACCCATTCTCACCCCTCTGCTTCTACCCTCTCCCACTTAGATCCTCATATTCATTCTACAATAATGTTTTATACGGTATTTTTTCTTTATGGTACGTAGTTAGTTCACTCAGCATAATGTTTAATGCTCTCCCAAGTTAGGTAGTAATTTTCAAAATCATTGCTCTTGTGTGCTGCTTAGTATTCCATTGTGTGAATGGAATTTCTCAACCCATTCCATTGTGGTTGGACATTTGGGCTGTTTCTGTGTCCTTGCGATGGTGAATAATGCTGCTATGAACATTGGTGTAAAAGTATGTTTGAAGCTCAGTTCTCATTTTCTTGGGGTATATTCCAAACAATGGAATAGCTGGGTCATATGAATTTCTATGTTCAGCTTTTGAGGAAATGCCAAACTGCTTTCAAGAGTAGTTGTACCATTTTACAGTCCCACCAACAATTTAAAAGAGTTTCTATCTCACCACATCCTCTCCAATATTTACTTGCTGTCTTGTTAAACTTTGCCACTGTTCCAGGAGTGAGATGGTATCTCGTTGTGGTTTTGATTTGCATCTCTCTTATTGCCAGTGATTCGGATCATTTCTTCATTTGTCTGTTGGCCATTCAAATATCTTTCTCTGTGAAAATTCTTTCCATGTCTTTTGCCCATTTTGTAATTAGGCTATCAGTCTTTTTCTTGTGGAGGCCCAAGAGTATTCTGTAAACTTTGTTATGAGACTCTTGTCTGAGATGGTATTGCCAAATGTTTGTTCCCAGTTGGTAGGGGTTTTTTTCACACTGTTGGGAAAAGTTTTTCATGGGTTGTTGTTGTTGTTGTTGTTGTTACGTGCCATCGAGTCGCCTGCAACTCATAGACCCTATGTACAACAGCCATAAACTCTGCCCTATCCTGTGCCAATCTCACCATCTCCGACACACCTACCCCCATTACCTTAGTAGTCACTGAATCAATCCACCTCATTGAGGGTCTTCCTCTCCTGCACTGTCCCTCCACCCTCCCAAGCATAACATCCCTCTCCAAGGACTGGTCCCTTCTTGCAACATGACCAAAGTATGTCAGACGAAGCTTCAAAATTCTTGCCTCCAAGGAGCAGCCTGGCTTCACACTCTCCAGGACAAACCTTAATCTTTAGCAAGTCCCATTTATCAATTTTATCCTTTCCAGATTATGCATTTCTGGCTGTATTTGACAGTCTCTTTATACTGTGGACTAGGCCTTCTAAGCTTGATCCCAATTGTCTCTTACAAACTTTATGGGTTTGGACTTTATTCCCAGGTCTCTGATCCACCTTGAGTTGATTTTTGCGTTTGGTGTGAGATATGGATTCTGTTTTAGCTTTCTACAGGTAGCAGTCCCGTTTTGCCAGCACCATTTGTTGAAGAGGTTGTCATTTCCCCATTTGATAGGTTTTATTTCCTTGTTGAATATCAGTTGACAATAGATAGCTGAATCTATTTCCAGGTTCTCAATTCTGTTCCACTGGTCTATGTGCCTGTCATGGTACCAGTATCATGCTGTTTTGGTTACTACCACTGTGTTTAGGCTTTGAAGTCAGGGAATGCAATGCCTCCCATTTCATTTTTGTTTCTCAGAAGTGTTTTGCTTAGGCGAGCTCTGGTGGCCTAGTGGCAGGAAACTGCACTACAATCCCAGAAGTGCACGGTTCAAATCCACCAGATGCTCTGCTGAAGAAGGAGGAACAGTCGCCTCCTGTACCAGTCAGATCCAATTTGACGGTGCACGCATTAAAAAAAAAAAGAGGTGTTTTGCTTAATATGTGTCTCTTTCCTCTCCGAATAAACTTGACAACTACTACCTGAAAATGATCTACTTGAAAAATGAATTTGGTATCTGTATTAGGATTGCATTGAACATGTAGATTGCTTTTGGTAGGATTGTAATTTTCACCATATTAAGGCTTCCTATCCATGATCAGGGCAGAATATCCCATTATTTAGGTCTTTTATTGTGTATTGCAGAAATGTCCTGTAGTTTTCTTTGTATAGTTAGGTCTTTTGTGTCTTTAGTTAGGTTCACTCCCAAATAACTCAAACTGTAGTTGGCTATTGTGAATGGTATTGTTTTCTTGGTTTTCTTCTCTGAGTTCTCTTTGTTACTGTAGAGAAATCCCATTGATTTTTTAATATTGATTTTTATATCCTGCCACTCTACTTAAATTGGCCTACTAGCTCTAACAGGTTGGGGTTGGTTTTTTTTAGTCTTTGTGGGTTTCTATGTACACTATCATGTCATCTGCATATAGTGACAGTTTAACCATCTCCTTGCTGATTGGAATAACTTTTATTTCCTTCTCTTGTCATATTGCCCTAGCAAGCATTTCCAAAACAATATGGAGTAGAAGTGGTGACACTGGGAATCCTTGTCTGGTTCCTGTTTGCAAGGAAAATGCTTTTAGTCTTTTTCCATTGAGAATGATGTCGGCTCTTGGTTTTGCATGTATACTTTTCACTATGCTTAGGGAATTCCTTCTATTCCAATTTTGCTGTGTGTCTTAGGAAGAGGTGTTGGATTTTAACAAATGCCTTTTCTGCATCATTTACTTTGTTAATATGGCGAATTATGATGATTGTTTTTCTTAGGTTGAACCATCCTTGCATAGCTGTTATGAATCCCACTTGGTCATGATGAATTATTTTTTTATGTGGTTTTGGATTCTATTTTTAGGATTTTGTTAAGGAGTTTTGCATCTATATTCATGAGAGATACTGGTCGGTAATTTTCTTTCTTGGAAATGTCTTTGCCTGGTTTTGGTATTAGGGTTATGCTTGCATCATTGAACAACTCTGGGAGTGTTTCTTAGTTTTCAATTTTTTAAAATATTATAAGTAGAATTGGTGATAGATCCTCTCTGAATGCTTGGTAGAATTTAGCTGTAAAGTCATCTGGTCCAGGACTTTTCTTATGGGGAAGTCTTTTTACGAACTTTTCAATTTCTACTTTTGTGATGGGTCTGTTCAAGTGTTCTATATCTGTCCTTTTTAATCCGGGTAGGGCCTGAGTTTCAAGGAATTTGTCCATTTCCTTTAGGTTTTCAATCATTGTAGAATCTTGTGTGGGTGTCTTTGAATGTTTGCTATTTTGTGAAATGTTTTGTTCCTTCAGAACAAATCTTCCTTTGAATTTTAGCAAAGGCTAGCCTATATCCAGTGTTTCAATCTGACACCACTTACCAGACACTGTCACAGGGCACTAGAGAAAACTCAGATGACAGCTGTTTAGGAACCATCAGTGTTATTTCTCTTTAACAAGAGTGTTTTGATTGGCTCCTATGTACCCTGAGGGAAAACTCCCAGTGAGAGGGATTGACACAGTAACTTAGCAATGGGCTCAAGTATGTCAGAGAAGATGAGGATGGTGCCAGATAGGACAGAGTTCCTATGAGTTGTAACCACCTTAATGGCAGCCACCACCCCATCCCATGCCCTGCATTGCCAATCCTGACACTCACCCCCAATTTATTTAGTTTATATGAAGGAGCAGAAGATATGAGTGTCCAAGGGGACATACAAACAATCCAACAAACAGCTAACTGACTTTTTTTTTTTTTTAGGCTACATCAAATCAGATATCAGAACTTTATCTGAAGCTTTTCAAGTTAGAACAGGAGACAGACCTGCTCAGGAACATTAACAGAGCCCTACGAGAAGAAAACCTATTTCTCAAACAATCACTGGCGAGAATTGGTTCTGGTGAACAAGGTGGGGGGTCGTTCAGGTGTTATTTTGCACACCCATGAAATCCTGCCTTTTGGGAGTGTGTTTGCTTTTCAAGAAAAAAAAAAAAAAACACAAAACACCACACCCAAAACATTTTAATGAGCTCATCCAGATCTGTCTGTGGTTGTTGTTGTGTGCCATCAAGTCAGAACTGACCCCTAGCTGACCTTCCAGTGGGTTTGGAGAGGCTGCTAATCACTTGGGAAGAGATTACCCATCCTCCATTCATTGAGTGGATTTGTTCATAAACAAAACATGTGAAACCTTTTCCCTTTCCTGCAGGTTAACATCAGATGGGACCACGCTGTCTGATGATGCTGTCGTTATGGAAAATAAACACACAGAGACTAACAAATAAACAGATGAGTGACTTTGCTTTTCTCCCACAGCCCGAAAGCCTTCTGGTACTCCGAAGAGAACTGGGGTGGCAGCACAATTGCCACCAGCCAAAGAGATTAATCAAATGCATGCTCGCCGAGCCAATTATGACGGAGAACTCGCCAAAGCTCTCAAGGCATTCTACCAAAGCATGAACATGGCTAGAGGGCAGTTCCTCAGGCTGAGGCATCACAAGCTCCCAGTAAGTAACTAGACTCTGCAGAGCAAAGACTCTCTTTCTTTTGGGTGTTCACTATCACTGCAGACCTGAGCGGGCAGAGGCCAGACTGGTGGGCGTTCTGCTCTGCAGCTGCTTTCCTTTCTCATTTTAAGGCGCACCTAGCTGTTTTCTGGCAGCTGCAAATACTGCCGGATTGACAAGTCATGTCCCAAAACAGAATATCCCAGAGATAGAAGCCCTCTATATGAAATTCCTCACACTGATTCTAGCAGATAATCTGTTTTCATTGTTGTTGTTGTTGTTATGTGCCGTCGAGTCGTTTGCGACTCATAGCGACCCTGTTTTCATTAGAAGCCGAAAAAGCATGTGATAAAACACAGCATATTACCATGATGAAATCTCTTTAATCTGATAATTATAATCTTGAACAAACAAAGCAACAGAATGCTTCCTGGTGAATCGCTCAAAGTTTCTTTCAGATAAAGGGCCAGGGATGCCAGCAACCTCCACTTTTGTTCTACACTAGATTTGAGATTCTGTCAGTACAGTGCAAAGAGAAAGAAAATGTGCAAGAATTGTTGTTGTTATATGCCATCGAGTCACTTGTGACTCATAGCGACCCTATGTACAACAGCCCTAAACCCTGTTCTATCCTGTGCTAATCGCACTGCCTCTGACACCCATCCCGATTACCCCAGTCACTGAATCAATCCACCTCATAGAGGGTCTTCCCCTCCTACGCTGTCCCTCCACCCTCCCGAGCATGATGTCCCTCTCCAAGGACCTGTCCCTCCTTATAACATGTCCAAAGTATGTCAGATGAAGCCCCAGAATCCTTGCCTCCAAGGAGCAGCCTGATTTAACCCTCTCCAGGCTGAATTTGTTTGTTTTGTTGGCAATCCGTGGTATATTCAATACTCTTCTCCAGCACCACAGTTCAAAGGCATCAATTCTCCTTCTATCCTCCCTAATCATTGTCCAGCTCTCTGATGCATAACAAGTGATTGCAAAGACCATACCCTGTATCAGATGCACCTTAGTCTCCAGAGTGACACCACTGCTCTTCAGTACCCTGGACTAACAGCAGACTTTCCCATTGCAACACGCCTTTTTATTTCCTGGCTACTGGTGCCAAGAGTGTTGACTGTGGAGCCAAGCAAACTAAAGCTGTGAACAATCTCAATCTCTTCACCATCCATCCTGATGCTGCCGATTGGTCCAGTGGTGAGAATCTTTGTCTTCTTGACATTGAGCCTCAATCCATACTGAAGGCTGCAGTCCTTGACCCTCTGCAGCAAGTGCATCAGGTCCTCCTCAGTTTCAGCAAGCAGGGTTGTGTCATCTGCATAACGCAGACTGTTAATAGATCTTCCACCAATCCTGACTCCACACTTCTCATAGAGCCCAGCTCCTTGGATAATCCGTTCTGTATACAGGTTGAAAAGGTATGGAGATAGGACACATCCCTAGCATATATGCTCTTTCCAATTTTGAACCATGCAGTGTTTCCTTGCTCTGTTCTGATGACTGCCTCTTGGTTCAAGTATAGGTTTCTCATTAGCACGATCAAGTGTTCTGGGATTCCCATTCTTCTCAGAGTCAGTCACAGTTTGCTATGATCCACACAGTCAAATGCCTTTGCATAATCAATGAAATACAGATAGACATTCCTCTGGTATTCCCTGCTTTCAGCTAAGACCCATCTAACACTAGCTACAATATCCCTTTTACCACGACCCCTTCTAAACCCAGCCTGGACTTCTGGCAGTTCTCTGCTGATGTGCTGTTCCAGTCGTTTGTGGATAATCTTCAGTAGAATCTTGCTTGCATGTGAAATCAATGATATTGTTCTAAAGTTTCCACACTCTGTTGGGTCACCCTTCTTTGGAATGGGAACAAATATAGATCTCTTCCAGTCAGTTGGCCAAATGGTTATTTTCCAGATTTCTTGGCACAACTTGGCAGCATCTGTTCGCAGAAATACGTCAATTGGTACACCATCTATTCCTGGGGCCTTATTTTTTGATATTTCCTTCAAAGCAGCTTGAACTTCTTCCTTCATCACCATAGGCTCTCGCACTTATGTTATTTCATTAAATAAAGGAGTATAAGGATTGGAAAGGGGAAAAAATAATAGCAATAGCAGTTGTTGGTATATGCCATCGAGCTGCAACCCTGTGTACAACAGCTCTGAATCCTGCTCTATCCTGTGCCAACCTAATTGTCTCTGACATACCCACTCCCATTACCCTAGTCACTGAGTCAGTCCATCTCATTGAGGGTCTTCCTCTCTTGTGCTGTCCCTCCACTCTCCCAAGCATGACATCCCTCTCCAAGGACTGGTCTTGCAACATGTCCAAAGTATGTCAGACGAAGCTTCAGAATCTTTGCCTCCAATGAGCAGCCTGGTTTCATCCTCTCTAGGACAAACCTGTTTGTTCTCCTAGCAGTCCGTGGTATATTCAATACTCACCTCCCACACCACAGCTCAAAGCCATAGATTTTCCTTCTATCATTCTTAGTCATTGTCCAGCTTTCTAATACATAGCAATTAATTGCAAAATTGGCCTGGATCAGGCACAGTCTCCAGACTGACATTGTTGCTCTTCAGTACTTTGGAGAGGTCTCTGACAGCAGACATTCCCAAGGCAATTTATCTTTTCATTTCCTGGCTGCTGGTACCAAGAGTGTTGATTGTAGAACCAAGCAAACTAAAGCTGTTAACAATCTCGGTCTCTTCATCCTCTATCATGATGCTGCCAATTGGCCCAGTGATGAGAATCTTTGTTTTCTTGATGTTGAGCTTCAATTCACATTGAAGGCTGCAGTCCTTGACCTTCTGCAGCAAGCACTTCAGGTCCTCCTCAGTTTCAGCAAGCAGGGTTGTGTCATCTGCATAACAGTTTGTTGATGAGTCTTCTTCCAATCCTGATATCACATTTCTCCTCATAGAGCCCAGCCTCCTAGATAGTATGTTCTGCGTATAGATTGAAAAGGTATGGAGATAGGATACATCTCTGGCATATACCCTTCTCAATTTTGAACCATGCAGTGTTTCCTTGCTCTGTTCTGACAACTGACCCCTGGTCCAAGTATAGGTTTAACACAAGCACAAATAAGTGTTCTGGGATTCCCATTCTTCTCAGAGTCAATAACAGTTATGATCCACACAGTCAAATGCCTTTGCATTGTCAATGAAGGTAAAATAGACATTTCTCTGGTATTCCCTGCTTTCAGCCAAGATCCATCTAACATTAGCTAGAATATCCCTAGTACCATGGCCTATTCTAATCCTAGCCTGCACTTCTGGCAGTTCTCTGTCATTTTTGGATACTTTTCAGCAGAATCTTGTTTGCATGTGATATTAGTGATATTGTTTGATAACTTCCCCACTCTTTTGGGTCACCTTTCTTTGGAATGGGAACAAATATAGATCTCTTCCAGTCAGTGCAACAACAGTACACACTTATATTTTTGTATTGTTAGGTGTTAAGAAGAATATAACTCACAGCAACCCTACAAACAGAGCTGAACACTGTCTTACCCAGTGTTATTCTTATCATCTCTGACACACCCGCCCATTGCTGCAGCCACTGCATCAATCCAGTTAGTAAGAATACCAGAGGCTCTTCCTCTTTTCACTGACTTCCCACCGTTCCAAGCATGATGTCCTTTTCCAGGTAATAGCCACTCCTAGCTATATGCCTAAAGTATATGAGACAAAACATCACCATCTTAGCCTCCAAGGGGTTGCACTTTTCCCAAGATTTACCTGCTTAGTTTTTTTGGCAGTCCATGGGATATTCAGCACTCTTCTCCAACACCACAGTTCAAAGGCATCAATTCTTCTTCTGTCATCTTTATTCACTGTTCTGCTCTCAGATGCACAGCAAGTGATTGAAAAGACCATGGCTTGAGTCAGGTGCAACTTAGTCTTCTGACATCATTGCTCTTCAGTGTTTTAGAGAGGTTCTTGACAGCAGATCACCAATGCAATACATCTCTTGATCCCTTTACTGCTGGTACCAAGGGTGTTGTTGATCCAAGCAAGATGAAATCATTGACAACTTCAATCCCTTCTCCAGGTATCATGATGTCTCTTGTCCCAATGGTGAAGACCTTTGTTTCTTGATACTGAGATGCAATCCATGTTCAAGGCTGTAGTCCTTGATCTTCTGTAGCATGTCATACACTTGTGAATTCAAGTTACACACTTATATAATATTTACTAAACATTTTATGACAATTCTCACAACCATCTAAAGTGGTTGTTATGTGCCATCAACTTGGAACCAACTCATATCTGGCCTGCCAACAGGTTTTCAGAGGCAGTAAATTGAACAGTTGACTACTTGTCTTTCTTCCTCAGAGCAGTTGGTGGATTTGAACTGTGTGCCTTTGGGTTGCACCACAACTGTTTGCCACAACTCTTTGGCAGCACAACTCTAAGCCCCCAGAGTTCCCTACTCCTAATAATCCTATTTTACAAGTGAATAGAGCTAAGGCACAAGAGATTGAGTAACTTGCCCTAGAGTAAACAGGGCCAGATTCACACTAGCCAGTCTTGTTCTACAGTCTATATATTTTTTTTAATACAATGCAGCCTCTATCATTTCCACAGGACATGTTTGTGGAAATAAGAAATCTTAGCAGAATTTATAATATCATTACAAAGCTAGATACAAATCAGTATTTACAAATTAAATGCATTTTAATAGTAACAAACAGGCAATTGTTTTAGGTTAAAATATAATAATAAAAGTTTCTATTAAAACGATAGAAGTTTCATGTACTCATGCCTACAGTTAACATGAGATACATGGAACTTCTATAGAGAAAATATTTAAACTCTATTGAGAAAAACTGGACAAAATATGTTTACAGCATTGAAGTCTATGGGGGACAGAATAGTTTAAGTATTATATTTTAGGGCATTATGTTTATCGTAAGAGTACGGAATGAGGGTTGCAGAGTGGATTATATTTGGGGTTGGGGGTGTGGTTGGGGAATGTTCAGGGGGGATTGTGTAGCAATGAGGGAGTTTTCCTTTTGCTTTTCGTGGAGAGGAGCGGACTGGGGGGGATGAAGGGTGCAGCAATGGGTGAGTGGAATTCCAGGATCTCTGTGGATGTTCATTGAAATGAAAAATAAATAAATTTTAAAAAAAACAACAAAAATCTATTGAAATGTTTAAGAACATCCAAGTAACTGGAGAAACATGTCATGTCCTTGCAGTTTTGGAAGATTTACTGCTTTTATCCAAAGTACAGCAAGCCGTCACTGCTGGGGAAGTTCGGCTCTGGGGCAGCAGCACACCTCCCTGGACTGCTGCCCAGAGCTCAGCATGTTGCCATTAGGCAACATCAGACAGACTACAAATCATAGCCACTCTGTGAAGTTGTAAAGGTCTGGGCCTTGCTCTATCCTGTACCAACATCAGACTTTGGTGAAGATCTGAAATAACAGAAACTTACATGCAATTATTCTTCTGAGCTACCAAAATGACTTGAACCATGCCCCATGTCCTGTACCACCATCATCACCTCTGATACACCCAAGGCCATTGTTACAGTCACTGTAGCAATCCGTCTTGTGAAGGGTTTTCCTCTGTTTTTCTGACCCTCCACCTTTCCTGGCATGATGTCCTTGCCAAGGACTGGTCCCTCCTGACAACATGCCCAAAGTCTGGGAGATGAAGTTTCACAATCGTTGCCTCTCAAAAGCAACCTGGTTACACTTCCTCCAAGACAAACTTGTTTGTTCCTCTGGCAGTTCATGGAATATTCAATACTCTTCTCCAACACCACAATTCAAAGGTATCAATCACTTCTTGAGTCTTTATTCATTGTCCAATTTTCAGATGCATTGAAAACAACTGAAAAAAAAAAAACCAACCCAAAAATAACACTATGGCTTGGGTTGGGCACACATCCTAGTCGTTAAATGGTTATCCTTGCTCTTTAGGACTTCAAAGAAGTCCTAGACAGCAGATTTTCCCAGTGTGACATGTCTTTTGACTTACTGACTAGTACTACTGTGGCTATTGATGTTGGATGATGTCAGGTGGATCTTGGTCAACAGTACAGAATAACAGAAAGAGGTGTCTTTGTGTTTTAGTGACTATGCAAAGGCATTTGACTGTGTGGACCATAACACATTTTGGCTACCACTGAGGTGAAAGGAGACCCCAGTGCACTCAACAGTGCTCACGTGAAACCTAGACCTGGAACAAGAAGCAGTTGTCCACACAGAACAAGGGACAATGAATGGTTTAAAATCGGGAACGATTTTATGTGTCAAGGTTGATCATTCCTCCGTACATATTCAATCTGTACACTGAGCACACAATGTGAGAAGCTGGTAGGAGCGATTTTCTGAGGCATGTTTAGTAATTTGAAGAGATATATATATACCCTCTTGCTGTTGTTTTTCTACAGCATCAAGTTGGCTAACTCAGAGCAACCATGTGCATGAGAACAGAACATAGCCCGCTCCTGTAACCACCTCCTAACAGTTTTCATGCCTGAGCTCAGTGCTGAGCACCTGTCAATCCACCTCTAGACAATCTTTCCACAGGTCCTCTAGTTTTAGCAAACATAATACCCTTTTCAAGGACTCAGACCATCTGACAAAGACCCAAATTATGTGAGACAAAATCTTGTCTACCACTCTGGTTGCACTTCCTCCAAGACTGACTCACTGTTCTTCTGGCAGTAGATTCAGTATTCTTCACCAATACCGTAATTCAAAGCTGTCAATTCTTCATCAGTCCTTCCCCTTTATAAAGCTCTTCTTTTGCATGTATGAGAGGCAACTGAAAATACTGACTTGGATCAGGTGCATCTTAGTCCTCAACATGACATCGTTGCTCTGTAACATGGTAAAGAGGTCATATTCAGCAGACTTGCCCAGTTCAATACATAGTTCTCCTTGGAAAGGATTCAAGTAACATGAAATCCTTGACCAATGAAATAGTTTCTATGTTTGTCATGATGTTGCTTATTGGTTCAGTTGTGGGATTTTTTCCTCAACCATTTTCATTTCTCTAGGGAAGAAACTGGTTCTGCAAAGAATTCTGCAAAATTCTTCAAAGAGGCTAAGAAAATTATTAGCACACCAGTCAGTCAAGCTGGAAGTTGCTCTAGGAGAGGGGACTCATGTGACAGGGAGGAACGGAGAGGCCAATTTCCATTTCCTGACCAGCTTGTAGTTAGAGGGGTGTTCACTTTAACTGTTACCTGTGCATGTGTGTTGGGCATTCTGTCCCACGCAGAGCATACACACACACACACACACCTGGGTAAATAAACAAAACTAGAAATCCATATCCATAGCCTGGGACAACATATGTGTATTCTTTATCAATCAGTGTTAAGTATAACTTTTAAAATAGGACATGTTAGGGAACACATTGGAATAAATGGGCAGAGGATTTGAACAGGCATTTCCTTAATACTCAGGGAAATAAACAATGAGAGGCCCATCCCTACCCTCAGCGGCCATCGCTGCCTTGGCACTGGCACACCTTGGCTCAGAGGTATTCCTGCAATCTTCTTTCAGGGGCACCTGCTTCCACAGGGGAAGAGATTAGCTAAAGCCTACCAATGAGAGAATCCTCATGCCCACAATTACCATAAACAACCGCCCTGACCCGTAAAGCATCAGAGGATTTATAAACATTTATCAGAAAGACTGGGAAGGATCTGGGCTCCCTCATCAGTTTTCCCCATTGGGAGAAACGAGCCTGTCAGGTAGCCTTCCTGAAGCGAAGTGTGCTCCAATGCAGCTATCCAGCCCTCAGGGGAAACGTCCTGGGGGCCCCCTCCTCATGTGCATGTCATGCTTTTCAGTCTGATGACAAGATGTCTGTGGTTTCCAAGTCTCGGTGTTCCCAAGAACAGAAGCGTCTCATAGCACTTCCTTTGTTAATCTATGCAGCAGAGTGCTCTGGTGGCACAGATTGTAGTGAACTGTGCAGCTCACCTAAAGGCTGAACATCTCCAATGGTTCAAGTCCACTGGCTCCACAGGAGCTCCTCTCTTTGTGATATACAGCCTTACAAACCTGACAGGAGTCAGGACCAACTTGTTGGCAATGAGAGCATCCCTACAGAAGCCAATCACCTGATCTTTTCTCCTGTGGAGCCAGCCGGTAGGTTTGAACCACAAACTTTTGGTTAACAACTGAGCTCTTAACTGGCATTTTACTCCAGGGTGCTTCTGCAAGGCATACCATTACATTCTTTTACTTTCACTTTTTTTTTTTTTTTAGGATGATGATCAAATGCTTCGACCATTTATACGCCAACAGTCCCAGATGTTTAAGGACTTTGGGGACCTACTTGAATCCAGCTTGTGGAGGCTGAAAAACGATGTCGCTCTTCTAGTAAAAAAAAAGAGAGAATTTCTGTCGCATGACAGAGAATGAGGATATCCCAAAAGAAACTGGAAAACTGTGAGCTCTGTGCTGTCAAGACTGTGAGTGCCTCATGGCCCCAAGTAACTCAGCTCTGAGAGCTGGCCACTCAATATATTTCAGTTCATTTCCCATTCAACCACTTCTCCTAATGTTTAAAAAAACATCACTCCTTTCCTTCAATCTCATTAAAAAATTTGTAAATGTGAATATATTGTAGGATAGTGTATGGAAACTGTACTTTTTGTACAGTTGTTATTTAAACATAAAAGAGCTGTAAAAACAAAGTCTAGTAAAAAAATAAATGTTAAACGCTGTTGTGTACCATCAAGTCAGAAGTGACCCATCGTTGACTCTCAAAAGGGTTTTCAGAGGCAGTTAATCATACAGGAGGAGACTGCCCATCTTTCTCCTGTGGAGCAGCTCGTGGATTTGAACTGTGTGCCTGTGGGATTGGAGAGCATATTCTTACCAGTAGGCCACCAGAGTTCCCCTAGTTAAGCATTGGGGGCGGGAGGGGGTGTGGAGTTCATCTTCAAGGTGTGAGATACTCACCAATGAGTGGTTACCCTGCTTGACCTGCCTGGGTTATCGGTTAGGAGATCCAAACCCTAGCTCTATTTATCGGTTAGGAGATGGGGGCACGTGGCTTCCCTTAACATCATCTTCTTTGTCTGTTACAATGGGGAGTAATAGTATTTCCAGAGCAGTTAATGAATAGAAATCATTTGGTGCCTGGCACAGAGGAGACCAAAAGCACTCATCATGAATATTTACAGCAGTTAGAACTTAAATGAAGCTCTTTTGATCTGTTAGACTAACAGACAATGGTTATTTCCTGCCCATCACATTTGTAGTCTTGAACAAGTTTGGTTTTCTCTCTTCACAGGCTTACTTTAATTATGTTCCACCTACACAGCATTGATGTCTTAACACAAAGAGTATTTCGTGATGTAGGTCCCTGGATGGCAGAGATTTGGACTGCGGGAAATAAAACCCACCACAGGTCATACAATCTTGAAGCTGACCTTGACATCAGACTTCACTGATGAGTCCTTAGGGGAGCTCTGACAGGCACTATGTAGTCTTAAGAAGGAAACATTATGCATGCCAGAGTGGTTCCAAACCAATAGTCACAATACTGAGACTTAACTAGTGTGTATCATGTGTTAGCCGCCAAGCTCATTTAACTCACACAATAATCCTCTGGGTTTCCACCAGTATTCCCCCATTGGGAGACTTTAAAGGTTATGTAACTTGTCTGGGTCACTGTCAAGAATGGCTCACTTTAGGGCCTTAATATACAAAATGGCCCTGGGGAAAGAACTGATTTTCTTAAGAAGTCTCCTACAAGAAAATTAGAGATGATGACCCCAACTGGTGTTTTTTTAAAGTGGATGTCAGGAAAATCAAAAGCTTAGTCACAGAAGTTCTCTGAGCAGGGGAGCGAAGGACAGGGGAATGCATTTCACCTGATACCGGGGCCCAGAGACCCATGGGGTAGCTTGGTCTTTGTGGGAAGCTCAAGGCCTGGCTGATGCACACGAGAATAAAAAATCCATAGCTTTAGTTCAAGTGTGGTGCCCCACATGGTGAGGGCAGGGACAGAGGCAATGCAGGAAGTGCTGGATCCTGGAAAGCCCATCAGTGGGCAACAGAAGCGGCACAGGGCAATCAGACTTGCCAGCTGGACCTACCCACTGGACGGAGTCTCAAGGCTCTACAACTTGGATGGAAGGAGGTGTTCTAGAATGTTATGATTAGAGTTTCTGAAACTAAGAGCATGTGGAGCCCTGTGGGGTTCAAAGGTAAATGAGGAGGTGACCACACCAGTTTCTCCAGCTGAAGGACAAGGTCACAGAGCCACCGTACACACCAATGTCAACCTAGAGGGAAACATGATAACTGCAAAGCTGAAGGAATGCTGCAGCCTCAGCCAGGGCCCCCCAAACCAGGTCAACCAGGTTCCCAGGAGCCAACCCCTGGGATCCTCTGAACACACATCCCTGCAACCCTCAGGGAAACCTACTGTTGTTTTAGGAATCCAATATGCAGGTAGTTGTGGGGCCTATTTTAAAGGTGATAAACGATTTTCTAAGGTCTCACAAGTTGGTGCACAGCTGAAATAAAATCTCCACCTCTTGGTGACAAAGCCACAGGCCTCCCAAGAATAGGCAGAGCAGAGGAGGGAAGGGGAGAACAAGCAGTGTTACCACCAACCAGCCCCGTTACATGCAGACACAGCTCCCAGCAAAATACAGGGCTCCTGCAATTGGTTTCCCTTTAGAAATTCCATAAAGATGTGGTTATTTTCTTTACAAAAAAAGCACAAAATGCTATGCATGTGTTTATTAAATGCTTATTACAAAAGCACAAGTTCTTGGCCTCATTTTAGGGCTTCAATGGAAAAGCTAATATACAAAAATCCAATCAGAGAAAAAGTCTGCTTTCAGTAAAAATCAACAGAAATTTGTAAGCTGAATCTTTAAAATAGAAATGAGCTCAGGACAAGAAAGAACGACAAGCCCTATTATTAGCAGTAAATAGGTAGAGACTACTTGCGAAGCAAACTTCTACAACTACTGAGCATGTTCACACACAATCATCGTTCAAATCGCAAACTATTATTCAGAATTCAACGTGCAAGTCCAAAATCATCAGTGCAGATGGCAGAAAAACTAGGCTAAAATAACAAAAAGGCTGCTTGATTTAGCAAAGGGCCACCTGGTTTACAGACAAGCCCCCTAGGAAGTAAGGTCAGCTCAGCATCACAGGAGCAAAGCAGCAGTGTGTGCCCTCCGTAGATGCCAGCTCGAGGCCCTCGCGCTGAGAAATGAGGTAAGGAACACCCACCCTGGGGGGAATCACCCCCCCATCTGATCTGCCCATTCATTTAGAGAACTTACCATCACACATCATGAAAAGTAAACTATTAGTTCTCTCTCATAAGCAATAAAAATCAGCTGAGATTTGAAATTTAATGCAGACTAGTTCACTTTCCTCCTTTTAATGTGCAGTTATTTCAAAGTTCAAAATCTTCTTCTATATATAGTCAGGTTTACAAAAGAATTTCAAAGGTCAAACGCAGAAGCTGTGACTTCTTATATCTTAGGACTCTAGTTAATTTCTTCAAGGGTTTAGACTTCAGAGCTGCTAATGACACTAAATTCTATGCCTCGATGGTTGAGTCTGTCAATCAGCTTCGTTCTGGAGAAAGCAGCTCCAGGTGTGAAAACTCCACCCCTGTAATATAACAACAAGGTAAGACAGTAGTTGGGCCAATTGTCAGCCCTCCCCTCTGCTAGTGTGATGGCTGGAGGTCTGGCAATCAAATCCCTTGAGGACTCATGAAAACTCGACTCTTCATTCTATCAAAGATGCTTTGGGTTCCATTTCCCCAACTGGTCAAATGAACAGTCATGGGCTTGAGGAAGAAACCAGTTACATGGCCACACCCATCTAGACTGGCTCAGTCCTAGTGAGACTGTCCACCAACAGGAGCATTAGGGGGCCGGAGTGCCATTAACCTGAATAATTGCTGTTTATAAAATAGAGCTCACACTTCAGAACATAAAAGACAGACCCTGAGTGAAGTAAATTTAGGTAATAAACTTATTAAAGCATACACAGGCCTTAAAGTGAATAGAAAAAGTCTTTGCATGCCATAAAATACAACATATTTTCAAAGAGTATACACCTATCTGAAAAATGGCATAGTCAATCTTACTAAGTAGAATTTTTATTTTAACTACCTGCTATTATTTTAGGTCATGTCTAATTTATTTCTAAATCTGCATGCTCAGGCTCATTTAAAAGACTGACCTAGTTTTAGCATAACATATACCAGCAAGACAGTGCATTTGATAATCATCTAGCCAAGATCCCATGAGGCAAGTCACTCGCAGTGGGAAAAAGAGCCCCTCGTTAAGAATTGAAGAAAACCAGACTTACGCCTTCGGAAGATCAGAGGCATCATTGAGCAGAGTTAAGGCGGCCTGAACCATGGCTATGGGGGTAGCCACATAGCCGGCCTCTGGAGAAAACAGATGGAAGAAAAGATTCAATAAGCATTCATTCAACCACACTCACAAGACTCTGTAGCTAACTCTAGGTACACAGAACATATATACATTCTAAATATATACACACACACTATATATATATATATATATATATATATATACACACACATATATATATACACACACATATATATATACACACACACACACACACATATATATATACACACACTCTATATATATTCTCTCTCTACACACACACACACTCTCTGTGTATATATATTCTCTCTTTCTCTCTCCTCTACACACACACACACACAGTGTATATATATTCTTTCTCTCTTTCTCTGGTGGCCTCGTAGTAAGAAAACCGTGCTTCAATCCTAAATGCACTGGGTTTGAATCCACCAGGTGCTCCACAGAAGACTGGGCAATCTTCACCTGTGCGAAAGCCCACTGGAGGGTCAGCCAGGGGTTGGTTGCATCTCTACGGTACACAGCCACCACCACCACCACCACCACCACTTTTTAGGGAGCTCTAGTACTGTCCTTAGGGGGTCTGCTGCTAACCTAAAGACTGCTCCTCTCTGAGGGCTCAAAACCACCAATGGCTCCTCAAAAAAGCTGGGCAATCTCTTCCCATGTGATTCAGCCTTGTAAACCCAAAGGAGGATCAGCTATGAGATAGTTTCAACTCAACAGCAATTAGAGAATCACTAAATTAATAAAAAAAAATCTACGCTTACACAGCACTTATATTATAAACTATTCTGAGCCTTAAATCTATTTAAAAAATATAAAAGCTGCCACTGAATTGACAGATTCACGGTGACCCCTATGTGTAAGAGAACAACTTTCAATGGTTGATTTTTTTTTTCTTAAGTCACTAGGCCTTTCTTCCATGAAGCTGCTAGATGGACCTGAACCTGCAAGCTTTTGGCTAGCAGCTGATTGTGTTCACTGTGTGTTCCCATCTATCTTACAAACTCATTTAATTCTAACAATTACATAAGGTGGCACTACTACTTTTAATCCTCAGTTACACATGAAGAAATAGACACAGAGAAGCTAAGCAATGTGCCCAAGTTAGGAAGCAGCTGATCAGAATCCCAGCCAGGCAGCTGGCTCCTCAGTCCACGCTCTTAACTCAGTGGCCGGCACCACTTCTTTTCAGTTATCAAAGTCTATGACCCTATGCTTTATTTTTTCCATTAATACAATAAAATAACCCGTATTACATTCATACACTTCACCTGAAACCACCACCCCCACCTCTCCAGTTTAAAAAGAAAAACAACTGAGTAAACCTGAGAAACTAAGATATCCATAAAGAAGGAAGTCTGTGGGTGGTGAAAAGGACCAAGCATTCTGCCACTGGCTGAGAGTCAGTGGCTGAAACCCACCCAGACACCACAGAAGATTAAGGATCCGCTCCCAACATGGCAGTTTAAAAACGCTTAGGAATACTATGCTGCATTGAAAAACAAGGAACTCATGCAATATTATTCAAAATGGTGACCCTGGAGGACATTATGCTGAGTGAAATATCTCAGTCACAAAAGGACAAATACTGCATGCCACTGTTGTAAAAGGGGACTGACATCAGGGTTGGGTGAGACTGAGAAAATTGGATAAATCATGTATACTGCATTGAAACAGATGAGGAAGAGAACAGTTTAAAAGCAATATATGATTGAGTATTATGGTTATGGCAAGAGTCCAGAATGAAGGTTGCATAGTGGAGTGTACTTGGGGCAGAGGGGAGGGGGGAGAATTCTATACCAATGAAGGAATTTTTCTTTTAATTTTCAAAGAGAAGAGCGAACTGGAGGGGAAGGGCAGGCAGGGAGGAAAGTACAACAATGAATGAATGGAAATCCAAAATCTCTGTAAATATTCATTAAAATGAATAAAAGAAAATAAAAAAGCCCTTAAGAAGCAGTTCTACTCTGCAAACATGAGGTTGAACTAAGTCAGAATCCACTTCACTTGCCAGCAACAACAAAATGGAAAGAAAACAGCATGGTTTACCCATTTCTGTCAGATAATAAACAGTCAACTCATCTTAAAAAGCTCAATGTTTGTAAAAGAAGGCAATGTACATAGATAGTAATGTCTCCCAACTAGAATACAACTGAAAAATTGAAAAATATAGCACACTCCCTGTGCTATAGCAAATATATTTTTGTTGTTGTGTGCCATCTAGTCCTAACCAACGTGTAGCAGCTGACCCTCGGAGCAATAAATCACATGGGAGGGAACGGAACTGCCCATCTTCCTCCTGCAGAGCAGCTGGTGATTTTGGGTTGGCAGCATGCTGCTCACCACCAGGGCACTAGAGCACCCTACAGTTCCATAAAACTCTATAGCCAATGTTCTTCAACTATTTTCAGGCAATAAATTATTTCAACAAGCAAAAGTTATTTCATTCTCCAGAAAAATGCAAATGTACACACAGATTTTATGAAGAATTTCAGAGATTAAAAAAAATGCTAATCCATAGATCTGACTCTTGGCAAAATTACACCAGTTTTAATCCATAGATCTGACTTTTGGCAAAATTACACCAGTTTTAAAGTGATCATGAGAATGGCACTGATAAACATCAATCACCCTTTCCATGAGTCACAGCTGAAAGGAAAATTCAACGATATTCACTAACAAAGCTCAATTAGACCAGTAATGTTATTCCTCTCTTTTACAACTAATTTTAAATCATTACTTAAATTTTTTCAAATGTATTTCTAAGACAATTAAGGCTTTAAAACACATATTATAATGAGCCCATGATTCTGTTGTTAAACACAAAAAACACCTAAAACTTCCAAGCAATTTTAAACAGATGCAAAATACCTGGTCCTCTAAAACTTGGGTTTGCATCGCATGATATTCTCTGCCTCCCCCACTCTCCAACCTCCTTCCCTAATAAATCCCACTGTTGGCTGTTGTTATGTGCCGTACCTGGTCCTTTCACCTGAGTACAAATTCTGAGATTTGGTTTGTTCTTTTCAGGAGCAACGCCTTGGCTATATCCTTGACCAAAAAATGTCATCGTGAATGATGAGGCATCTATCTGCAAAGAGAAAGCCAAGGATCCAACACATAAATAATCCCTTCTCAGGACCCAACAAAACCTGTTATTCCAAACTTCCTGAGAGACATTATCAACATATGAAAATAATATTCCACCAGCTAGAACATTCTTTATCCTTGAATCATAGGGCAAAAATTACCTTTTTGAAGGTGTAAGTTTTGGTAACTTGTGTGGTTTTGGGGGAGGGAAGTAAGTAAAGGAATGGGATAAAGATGCTTCTTCAGTTGTGGTTTAAAGAATGATGGTAATATCAAAGCAAGCAGTGTAAGAGGAGAAGCAGAAGGTAAGTTTTCATTTCTAGGGAAAAAGGTTGCAATAGATTATGGTAATTTGGTCTTGGGCATTCTGTTGAGGTGACAAGATAAAAATAGCAGCAAATAAAAAAATATATACTGGGACAGATAATTAATCAAACAACTTACAGATGCATAAAGCTGATTTAAAAAGTGTAACCTAGAAGACTTACTGCCACATTTTTCATTATCACTAATTTCAGACAAATGGTAACAAAGAATTCAGTGTGGTCAACCACTTTTTATTCAATATTAACTGTCAAAGCCTTCTCTACACCATTCAATCTATATATACTGTGCAAGTAACTTGAGAAGAATGTGGCATCAGGAATGGAGGAAGACTAATCCACAACTTGCTTCATGCACATGACACAACCTTGCTTGCAGAAAGTGAAGAGGATCTGACGCATTTATGGCAGAAGAGAAAAAAAAAAAACAACCTCTATTGTCTTCAATATGAATTACATCTCAACATTAAAAAAACAAAACTCTACATGGACCTTGATAGATGGAGAAACAATTGAAGTTGTCAAGGAATTAATTTTGTTTACGTCGACAATCACCACCCATGGTAGCATCAGTCAAGAAATCAGAAGATGTGTTACAGTAAGCAAAACTGCTGTCAAGGACTCTTTAATGTGCTAGCAAAATAATGTCAATTTAAAGACTAAGGTGTGCCTGCCCTAAGCCATGGTATTTTCCATTGCATGTGAAAGTTAGGCAAGCCTGATGTGGAACCTCCTATCAACATCAGCAATTCTCAATCTTGGTAGTGCATCCAAATCACTGGAGAGCCAGAAAAAAATCTCAATGCGAGGCCACAATCCAGACCAAATTAAACCAGAAGCTCTGGTCTGCAGTCTCAGATTCTCTCCAAGAGGAGAACCATTGGCTCTACACTTTCAAGTCCCACTTACTGAATCAAAACGTCCATAAGCAGAGTCAGTGAATGCATTTTTTAAAAAATAGTGACTCAGATATATGAAAATCAAGCTAAGAATCACTGGCAAAGCAAGTGTCTCAGGAAAAGTCTTAAAAAAAGGTAACACTTTTTCCACACTGGATCGAACTTTGTAAGTAAATCAGTACAAAATTTAAATTATATTTATTTTTTTAAAAAGGCAGGCAACAAAATATTTGTGTTTGTAAGAGATCTCCTGGACAGTAGTGGGAAGGACCAGAGAGGAAGGAACAGGAAAAATATGAAAAAGCCAGTCACCAGGTTGAGGACTAAACCAAGATGGGTGTGGAGAAACTCTAAGATGGTGCCAATTTTCCGGGTGAGCAGATAATGCCACCAACTGAGATGAAAAATACAGAAGAATAGAGAGCTGTCAGAACAAAATTCAGCTTTTACCTACTGAGTTTGAAATAACTGTGGCCAAGTGATCCAGTAAAATAGTTGAGTGTATAAATTTGAAAATATAAATGTACACTGTTGAAGCTGCTTAGGGAGAAGAGAGAAGTGAGTAATGCGTAGAGCCTCGGGGATGATGGACATTTAAGGAATAGAAAGAAGGTGAGGATATGGCATTGTGAAATTGAAGGAGGAACCCTTAGAGAGGAGCCTGTAAAATCGATGACCTTAGAAGCCAGGAGAAGCAAGCAGAGTATGCCTTCTTTTTCCATAGATTCAATCAAAACAATCAACCAACAACAGAGTCAAGTAAGGGCTGGAGGAAATAATTCAGTGTTCTGAGCAATCCCTCAAAGTCCAAGAGGAAAAGTCTAGAGACTAAGGTGCATCCAGGCCATGGTCTTAGCAATTACATGCTATTCATCAGAGAGTGGGACAAAGACTAAGAATGACAGAAGAAGGATTGATGCTTTTGAGTTGTGGTGTTAGAGAAGAGTCTTGAACATACCATGGACCACCAGAAGAAGAAATTTATCTGTCTTTAAGAGGATGAAACCATGTTTCTCCTTGGAGGCAAGGATTTTGAAGCTCCATTTCACATACTTTGGGCACATGGCCAGGAGGGACCAGTCTTTGGAGAAGAACATTATGCTTGGAAAGGTGAGATAAGGCAGCTTTGGGTGAGATGGATTGACATAGTAACTGGGGCAATAGAGATTAAGTGTGTCAAAGCCAGTGAGACTGGCTCAGGATAGGGCAGGGTTCAGAATTATTACACATAGGGTTGCTATGAGTTGCAGGCGACTTGATGTTACATAACAACAACAACAACAACAACTGACAATAAGCATTGTAAGTAATCTAGAGCTGATTCAATGTAAATGGGAGGATGTGTGTTAGCTATTTGCAAATAGGATGTCATTTTACATAAGGGACTTGAGTAGCCATGGGAGGGGTATCCTGGAACCAACCCCACATGGATATTGAGAGGTAACTGTGCTTCCAAGTATTTTAATAAGGAGGACAATGTGAAAGAGAATGGAGAGCAAATAAGGGATAAAAAGCATGTCATGCATTTAGTAGTAACTGTAAGACCCAATGGTGACTTTCACAAGGGGAAAAGACAAGATGAAGGAGGGTCCGCTGTGGGGTGGTTCCGACTCAATGGCACATAACAACTGAGGCTCTCAGAGGGAGTTCTGGGGCCTAGTTGGTAGGGAGTTGTTCTGCCAACTCAAGGGCAGTTCAAATCCACAAGCTGCTCCAAGCAATTTACAGTCTCAGAAAACTCGAAGGGTCAGCTATGAGTCAGTTCCAATTCTATGGCAATGTGTGAACGTGAGGCTATTAGAGAGACAGCAATTCATCTATCATGGGGCTCCAGGGGTTGGGTGTGAAACTTAGGAAGTGGGGGAGGGGGTAAAAGAGGAGACAACAGAGGGGGAAAATAAAGGAGCCAAAATAAATGAGATCTGTATGAAAAAGAGAGAATACAGTTCTCAAAGCCATATAAGCTGGGTTCTTGGCCACTGATCTCAGGCAATTTCCTTATCCTCTCTGTATCCAATCTACAGACCAGAGATGATAACAAAGGGTATCTGACACAATGGTATCATTTAAGTAAGGTGTTAGAGAGTGTGCCCAAGAGCATACTGCTTTAAGCCTTAGCTGCTTCTGTAACCACATAGAGTAAAAGGAAAAACAAAATGGAAAATACTGTAGAGATTTGGACACTAAAGAAATGATTACCTGTTTTTGTGTTGGACCTTGTTTTGAAAAATAACCAAAGGTGAAGAACCATGGAAACTGGGGGGGAAAAAAAAATAAAACTCTCAGTTTAATTTGCTAAAAATTTATAAAAATACTTGTAAAGATCTGACAGTTTTACTTACTTTTACGAGAAGCTGCCTTCCAATGCCAAACCTCACAAAAAATAAAAAGAAGAGTCCTGCGAACATAAGCTTAATGACAGAGGTGATGCCTCCCACGGTCACATAAGCTGCATACTGTACCTACATGAGAAAGAGAACATTAGCATGGCCCTATCTATTTCAGATCACACAACACAGGAGGGAATATTAGCCATGCAGAAATAACTCTTAGGCCATAAATCCAGAACAAAAACATTACGTTCTGAAAGCTTAATTCAGAAACCAGATGCGCAGGCACCTTATTCTTCCATGACAACTGCAGCAACAGTAATTACCTTCCCCTATTTGAACACTAAAGCACACAGAATCTGGACTCTCTTTAAAACTTCTCCTATGAGAGAATATCCTCTCTCTTTTAACTTGAAAAAACCAAGCTGCTTCTTGACAACAGGAGCAATTCTTTCAGTAACCAGAAAGAACAAGATGACACTCCAGAAAAGAAGGATGACCATGGACACTTGGACAAAAGAGGAGGATGGCCATGGACATCTGCACAAGCAAGGACAGTGTATGCTAACAGCCCCAATGAGGGGAGACTGTTGAAAATTTCCTGAACCGAATGTGCAACTGCCGTATTTCACGAATAGGATATTCAAATAAACACAAAAAAAGAGGCTCAAAGTTATTAACCACTAAGGAAATGCAAGTCAAAACAATGAGGAAATATCATCAGTCAGCAAGTACTGGGAGAGTGTGGAAAAACTGGAATCCTTATGCACTGGTTGTTATTGTTGTGTACTGCTGAGTTGGAACCAACCCATACCTGACCCTCCAGCAGGTTTTCAAAGGCAGTTAATTCCATGGGAGGAGAATGCCCATCCTTCTCCCTTGGAGCAGCAGGAGGATCTGAACTGCATGCCACTGGGATTGCAGTGCAGCTTACTGCCACCAGAGCTCTGCACTAGTAAGAATGCAAAACAGTGCAGACACCATGGAAAACAGTTTGGTGGGTCTTCAAAAAAAGAGCACAGTACAGAATTACCACACTGGAGAGTGGAATGCGTCTACATTTGGGGCAGGCTTCTCTGTGTACTTTCTTGCATCATCTTTGGGCATCTTGGAGTTGGCACACTGCCCACACATGAGGAATTGTATGCACAACCCATTAGGGCTCAGATAAAGTGCCATCTAATCAACTGGCCACTTACAGCCTACCACTCAGTCTGGCACCTGTGGATTCAGATGTGTGCTTGCCCATACACTCTCTATTTTAAGGACTGGAGGGGCCAATCCTTAAGGACAGACATCATCCTAGAAAAGTGGACCAATGGAGATAGCTTAAAGGCATCCTCCTGAGAACAATCAGCATACAAAGATGTCCTTATCACCACTCCTATACTGTATTAGAAGTTCTAGATAAGGAAATAAGAGGCCATCCAAATTAGCAAAGAGGAAGCAAAACAGTCTCTATTTGGGTTGATCTTGTATATAGAAAAATCCCAACAAGAAAATGATTGGCTTTAACTGACCAATTCAGTAAAATGGCAGGGCAATATACACAAATCAGCCAATTCTTCTAATAACAATGAGAATATTGAAAAGGAAATGGTCTTTGTTGTTTTCTTTCTTCTTATACTGTTACCTTTCGTTTGCTCCTCTCTTTCTAGTTCCTAGAGTTGATAAATTAGGCTGTTAATCCAAGATCTTTTATTCATTACGGCATTTATTATGAGAAGGTTCAATCTAAGTAGTGTCTTTGCTACATCCTGTAAATTTGGACTTTAAATGCTTATCTAGCTCCGTTATCCTCCTATTTTCACAATAGTGGTCTTATGCAGTAGTTGTCTTTATATGACTGAGTTTGTTCACTTGATGTAGGACTCCCTAGGCTACAATTTTACAAAATCACTGTTCTGAGTGCTGCATAGTACTCCACTGTGTGAATGCACCACAATTTCTCAATCTATTTGTTTGCTGACAGGTATCTGGGCTGCTTCCATTTTCTTGCTATTGTGAACAATGCTGCTATGAACATGGGTGTTCCATGCACCTAGGTCCATTCGTGTCTCAGTTCTGATTTCCTTGGGAGATTTTCCTAGCAGTGGAACACAGTTGTGCAATATTGTATCCTGTAAGTGTTGATATGCTATTCTTTCCTTTCCACTTGACTGTAGAAAATTTGTGATTTCTTCCTTGATCTGGAAACTTAATCCTATATTGTTTAATTTCCATATGTTTGTGTCTTTTTCAGGTTTTCTTCCCCCACTGTTTTTTTACTAACTGGATTCCATTTTGGCCAGAGAAAATATTTTGTACAATTTCAGTCTTTTAAATTTATCATGATCTGCTTTGTGATGAAATATGTGCTCTGGAGTAGAATGTGTATTATGCTATTTTTGGTGGAGTGTTCTGTATATATCTTTAAAGTCTAGTTGGTTTATGGTGGGCATTCAAGTTATTTAATGAATGAGTCCTGTTTTCTTGCTGACTTTCTCAGTGTTTTATACACTGTTGAAGGTGGTGTATCAAAGTTTCTAAATAATATTATTATTCTTCCCTTCAAGTTTACCAGTGCTTGCTCTAGATATTTAGGTGCTCTATGTTTTGCAAAAATATTTATGACTATTAAATCTTCTTGATTAACTGAATCTTTTATAACTTCATAATGTCCCTCACTGTCACTTCTAACACAATTTGTCATAAAGACTCCTCTGTCCTGTGCTAATACCACAGCAGCTGATTCTCTTCTGGTTATTATTTGCAGGAATATTTTTTTCTATCCTTTCACTATCAATCTACTTGTGTCTTAGGTTTACAGTGTGTCTTCTGTTAAAAACATAAAGTTGGACCAGAGTTTTAAAAAAAATCCTTTCTGCTTGTTGACTGGAGCATTAGTTTCATTACATTCACCACACTTTGTACTGAGCAATGCCAGTTTGCTGTGCACTGTGTGTTTTCAGTGTTCTATGCCTTTGTCCTTTATACGGCTTTTGTGTTTTGCTGGTTCACTGCAATGTGCCATTTTGGTTCTCTTCTTTGTATATGTGTATGCTTTTTATGTACTTTCTTACAATGAATATTTAGCAACTTCTATTTATAACATTCTAGGACAAGCTGGTACCAACTTAAATTTAGCGGTATGTAAAATTCAATATCTATACAATTCCTCTTCTCTTTTATGCTGGCTTTTATAATTTATAGAAACAAATTTTGGTTATATAAATATCACCACAATATAATTTTTAAAAATAGTAATATTCTTAATATTAAATAGGTATTTAATTAGGCAAGATGTGAATCACAGGGTAAGGTTATTACCATTAAATTGCCAATTAAATGTAAACTATAAATATCACTGAGGAGCAATGATGTTAGTGTGAGGACTAAGGTGGACTTGATTTAGACCACAGTCTTTTCAATCACTTGCTATGCTGGTGGATAGCTGCACAATGACTATGGATGACAGAAGAACTGATGCCTTTGAACTATGGTGTTGGAGAATGGAAGATCCTACAAACTGCCAAAAAACCAAACAGGTCTTAGAAAAAGCAGCCAGAATGCTCCTTGGAGGACTGTTCCTTGGAGGCAAGGCTGGCAAAGCTTCATTGTACATACTCTGGACATTTTGCTAGAAGAGGCTACTCCTTGGAGAGGGACATCAGGCTTGGAAAGGTAGGAGGATGGTGAGGGAGAGGGAGCTGATCAGGTGCACTGACTGACAGAGTGGCTGCAACAATGGGTTCGACTATGCCAAAGAGTGTGAGTTTGGCACAGGGTAGGACTAAGTTGAAATCTGTTGTTCCCAGGGCTGCTGTGTGTTGTACTCAACCGGACAGCACCTAACAACAACTCTACATGCAACCAATTCTGTGTATTTTCAAAAGTTAAAACATTCATGGTCTAGTTATTTTTTTGTTTGTTTTATAAACAGAATTCCTTTACCTAACAGGAAAAAGATGTGTAATAAATAAATGGGGTTTTTTTCACAATACATAAATAATACATACTTACTGGTGAGTTCTCTAAATTTTCATACAAGTAACGCTGAGTCCGCCTCACAACAGACACGTCGGCTCCCAAGAAAGAAACTGCATACCTGCTGAGTTCTCTACAGTAGGAAATGTGCCACCTGCAAGACACAACCACAAGATTCTGCATTCTCTCCAGTGACAGTAACCACAATTTTAGTTGGCGATTTTTCCCCCTAAATTTTGTTGCTGTGAATGAAAATATAGGGAATTCTGGTGGCCTACTGGGAAGGAACTGCACTGTATGTGGCTCAAATCCACCAGCTGCTCTGCAGGAGAAAGATGAGCAGCCTCCTCCTGTGCAATTTGCCACCTCTGAAAACCTACTGGAGGGTCAGCTACAGGTCAGTTCCGACTTGATGATATATTAACAACAATGAACACATATGCACCAAAATATGTGCCAGCCCAGCAGCTTCTACATGTGCAACTTACAGACAGTCGTCACATTCATGAGCTGTGCAGCCATTCTCAAACTTTTTCTTTCAGTTGTTATTCCTTATCTGGGAAAACTTGGAATAATCTTTTTATTAGCTTTTCTTGTAGCAGCAATGTTCTTAAAATGTTAGGGGAGCTCTGGTGGCCTAGTGGCAAGGAGCTGCAACTACAATCCCAGAGGCGCATGGTTCAAATCCACCAGATGCTCTGCCGGGGAAGGAGGGGCAGTCTCCTCCTGTACTAGTCAGATCTGATTTGATGGTACACTCACACAAAAATAATAAAATAAAAACTTAAAAAAAATGTTTTCACAGTCCCCCACATTCTCCATGCAAGTTCTTCAAACTTGTTGGTTCTATACATCGCTTGTTTCCCAAAGACATGACATTTGGAACAGGGTGCAGGCTTAAGAAATGAGGTTTTAACTATGCTTTACCCCCTCAGTTCCCCTAGACAGTGATAAAAACTACATTCATTCAAAATCAAATGCTAAATTCTTAACTGCAAAAGTTACTATATGTGATAACTCTGGCAAGTAAGTTATCACATGTTCATATTACTGATTAACTTCATGATATTGATTGGTGAATTTATGTAAGAGTATCGGACCTTAAGCTGATGGGTTTTAATGTGCAAATCTTAACAGGCATTTAACTTTTTTTATTACTGACCCTACTGAGAGGTGTTGTTTTTATTTTGCTATTACAAATTGAGTTCTAATCAATGTGCCCATAGCAATGTCCTTCTATAGCTTAATAACTGGCATTTACATTAATATCAATGTCATCATCACAAAATCCATTTTCCCCCGCAAAGGAAAAATACTCATATACATCCAATAATTATATAAGCTTCTTGTGGTTAGGCACCTGTTGAGTCAATTTTTTATGCACAGCAACATGAAAGTAAGTTTCTTGTTGTTGTGTGTGCCATCAAGTTAGAACCAATTCATAGCTGACCCTCCAGCAGGTGTTCAGAGGCCATGAATCACACACTAAAGAATGCCCATCTTTCTCCCACAGAGCAGTTGGTAGATTGAAACCATGTGCCTTTGGGATTGCAGTGCAGCTTCTTAACATTAAGCCACTACAGTTCCCAAGATGAGCTTAGGGGAATATAATTTTATCTTACTGATCCTTGAAAAACAATTCTGAATATAATTAGCTCAAAAGAGTCTCCCTGTTTTTCTTAGTAGCATACTTTAATAAAATAACAGACTTTGACCAGATACAGAAAGACTAGAGTCTGAGTTAACATACCTTCTTTTTAACTTTGGACCAAGGAATGGGACAGGACTCAGTTTTGACTCATTTCGTAGTTTTTTCAGATTAGTCTGATCTCCAAAACCATAAATGGCTGACTTCCAGGTCCCATCGTGAATACATAAACCCTAATAAAATATTAAGGGAAAGTTACTAAAGCGTGAAACCTGCTGTTACAAAGACTTCTCTCTCTCTCTAGTTGAGCAAGGCTTAACTCCTATGTCACACTCATAGATAGCTTTTCTGGATGGTCAGGCAGAAATAAGACACATCAGCACCATCATACTTAGCATTTATACATAGTCCTCTCTTCTACCATTATTTATGTTTTTTTAAAGTAATTTCATTTCTCTTCATTGTTTTTACTCAACTAACCAGCCATGTTCCTTCATTACTACCTTCTCTAGTATTATCTTGATCTTACATTTACTCTTCAATCTTTCCGTGGTGCATTTACATACACAGTTTATCTATCCCTCCTAACACTTCTTATCCTAAATATTTCAAGTTATATGAATTGGCCGTGGCCCACAAAAATTCTATTAAAATAATTTTTTAAAATCTCTTCAAGCTTACTACTACAATTTTATTTTTTTTAATTTTTTCTATCTTTGGCACTATTTTCGGTACCCCATACAGAACCCTAAATACTTCTTTGGTTTAGCCCATTTATTTACCTACTTGTTTTTCATCTGTTTAATAACATTTTATCTCTCAACACCTTTCATCTTCCAGTACAGTAATATCTTCCTCAACCTTTCCCTCCAATTCTCATCAGCAATGTGCAGCACAAAAGGGAGGGCAGACAAGGATGCAATCTCTAAGCTTACTGTGATTGCGGTGATTAACAATGACTTGTCTAACTTCCAGGGGGGCTTTTTTCATGTTACAGACGTTCTGACCTTCTTTTTTCCACTAATTTTTTTAAGAGAAAGGGTTTATTTTCTTTTAAAAAATGATTTTTCCTCCAATAATTCATATACATCTTGTTTTGGGATGTTTGTTTTTAATTAGTCAGGGACTGCCTGTATTATTTTTATATATATTTTTATTAACTCATTGTGCATTTTCCTCCCCTCTCCCGTCTTCCCCTTCCCCCTGTCCATTTTTCAACATACCTCTTGTCTCGGATTGTTGTTGTACATCTTTTTTTACAATGTTAAGTACAACACCCACAGTATAGATGAATTTCCCCACTTCTTCTAATTCTCATTTCCATCAATCCTTCTACTCTACTCCTATTCCTTTCTGCCTTCAGAGCTTTATCCCTGGGCAAATATTGCTCTTTTTAGTTATTCTGAAAAGAGATTGTATCTTTGGTGTTATTGGTCACCTTCTCTCAAAACTCAAACTAGTGTCTCTATCTGCATGAACAATTCTGCGGTGTTTATTCTGTTGCATCAGTCTGTTTTTCCTGCCATTCAATAACACACTGCGCCATGAGCCTTGAATGTCATGGCTATTCCCAGACCTTGTTGCTGTATGCACTGTCAAGTTGGAACTGATCTATCATAGCTGACCGTCCAGCAGGTTTTCAGAGGCAATAAATCGCATGGGAGGAGACTGCCTATCCTTCTCCCACGGAGCAGCTGGTGGACTCTAACTGTGTGCTTTTGGGATTGCAGTGCAGCTTCTAACTCTGAGCCACTTAGCCCTTAACATTTCTATAAACATTTCTCAATCAGCTCGTCAAGTATCATACCAAGATAAAACCAAACAAAAGAATGTATTTTTTTGTTTTAATTGGAATGGTACTGAATGATGAAATCTATCCGAGAACAAATAGGCAACTTCTAAGCATCAAGTCAGAAGAAATGATGGTTTTGAATTGTGGTGCTGGCAAAGAATATTGAATATACCACAGACTTATCAAAAGAACAAACACATTTATCTTGGAAGAAGAGAAATTAAAATTTTCTTTAATAGCAAGGATATTGAGACTTCATTTCACATACTTAGGGCATACTGTCAGGTTCGGTACGTTGACTTAAGATGTTGTTGTGTGTCACTGAGTCAGGACTGACCCATAGCTGACCCTCCAGCGGGTTTCTAGAGGCAGTTTATCACACAGGAGGAAAATGTCCATCCTTTTCCCATGGAGGAGCTGGTGGATTTGAGCTGTGTGCCTCTGAGAATGCACTGCATCTTCTCACCACTAAGTGACTCCGTTCTACATACTAAACTATTCAAGGACTGTAGTTTACAACACGGATTGAAGCTTTCAACAAGAAAACAAAGATTCACACCACTGGGCCCACTGGCAGCATCATGACAGAAGGAGAAGAGACAGCTTGTTAATAATTAGCTTGCTTGGTTCCACAATCAACATTCTTGGCACCAACAGTCAGGAACTAGAAAGACGAATTGCAGTAGGAAAATCTGCTGTCAGAACCTTCTCCAGAGTGAAGAGCAAGAATGTAAGTCTAGAGACTAAGCTGCACCTGATCCAGGCCATGGTCTTCACAATTACTTTCCAATTACTTGCCTTGGAGAGCTGTACAATGACCAAAGATGATAGAAGAATTGATGTCTTTAGAGTTGCGGTGCTGGAGAAGAATACTGAACATACCATGGGTTGCCAAGAAAACGAATAAGTCTGTCCTGGTGAAACCAAGCTGCTCCTTGGAAGCAAGGATTTTGAGACTTTGTCTCACATTCTTTGGTCATGTAGCTAGGAGGGACCAGTCTCTGGAGATGGATATCATGCTTGGAAAGGTCGTGGGACATCGCAGGAGAGGAAGATTCCAGATGAAATGGACTGACACAATTACTGGGGTAATAAGTGTAGGTGTGTCAGAGATAGTGAGACTAGCTCAGGAAAGAACAGGATTCAGAGCTATTGTGCATAGGTTTGTTATGAGTAGCAGTCGACTCGACGGCAAACAACGTAGAAAACTGAATAATTCATACTTCAGTAAACTAACCAAATTATTCTTTCCTAGCCTATTATGCTGAAATCTTGAAATGAAGTATCTGAGTCAAATCAACAAATGTTGACCCAATTTTTTATTCTTTCTCCCCACACCCTCTGCTGCCATTCTGACATGCATTCTCTGGTTTGTCTGTATATATTTAAAAACCAAGATGCGTTGTTTTGGAGGATGGCCATAGAGCTGGGTTAATCTCATCTGGTTGGCAGGGTAGGAGGGAAGAGTTCTTTCTGCTGGCAATACTGGCTTCAAAGGAATTTAGGGGCTCAATGTATATAGTTTCTTGATTATCTGTCCATAAGTCTCCATCCCAAATTTCAGGATCCCATTTCTCCACAAACAATGTGAAATTCCATCTCACACACACACTGTGCATGTTATCAGAGGGAGCCAGTTGTTGGGGGGAAAAAACAAACCACATCATGCTGGGAAATATGGAAGAGGAGAAAAGAGAGAAGACCCTCAAGGAGAGGGACTGACACAGTGACCAGAACAGCGGGCCTGAACAGGACAGAGATCGTGGGAATGGCACTGGACAAGGCAAAGTCTCATTTGGTGTTCAGAGGGTTGCTGTGAATTGTGATCAACTCAACAGCACATAACAACAAAGGCAGCTTACACTCTGGGTTGGCATCGACCTCTATGGCCACAGAGTCACCAGTGCTTTGAAGTCTAGTCATGTATGAGCTTTGGTGGCTTAGCTGGGAGGAGTTCTGCTGCCAACCCAAAGGCACATGGTTTGAGTCTACCAGCTGCTCAGTGAAAGATGAGCAATCTCATCTTGTGAGATTCACTGCCTCTGACAACCCACCTGCTGGAGGGTTAGCTATGGGTTAGTTCCTATGTGATAGTGCAGAACAACAGTATATGTATATGAAAGCTTCATGGTTTTAAGATATTTGGTACAATTAGTGTTTCAAGACAAACAAAATTCTATGGAAGAACTTTTTAAATTGTTTCTCAAATCTAACTAGTCTTAATAGCAGGTTGAGGACTACATGGTGCTGGCTGCAGAGGCAGATGAATCAAAGATTAGCTGGTAAGGTTGAAGACTGCTGGCTCACATCCAAAGAACCGGAGGTGACCAAGCCCATGCAGTAGTACCCTGATCCAACAAAAGCAAGAGAGCTTTGCCAGATGCCCATCAGTATTTTCTATCTCTAGGGAAACTCTCTTATCATAGCAGATCACATCGCAGCTGTGATTATACAGCTTCTCAAGGGAAGATTGCATCATAAATGTCAAACCAACAACTTCATGCACAACTTGAATCATCACACTAGCTAAAAAAATTCAATTCACATCAAAAAAATTCCCTCTCTCCAGCCTCCCAGTTAGGTCTTCTCCTTGCTTAGAATCTTAAAGTATTTCATCTGATCACTTCAATGCTAACAAATAACTTTCTATCTATTGCCTAAGTAAAGTATTACTCATTAGGGGAGGGCTTACTTCATACTGATCTGCTGTATTATCTTTGATCTACTACACATGCTTCTATTGTTACACAATATTTGTTGAATGGACCTATTTTAAAGGGAATAGTTACTCATGTAGTTCTAGACTTAGAACTGTGCTGGGCTTTAGAAGAATAAAAGTAGTATCATAAAGTAGGTCTGGCATGGGGGTTTGGGAGAATAGAGTAAGAGTGGATAGATAATGAACATTATACTGGAACAGATGAAGGAAAGAACTGTTTAAAAGGAATACATGATTAGGTATTATATATATGACAAAAGCTCAGAATAAGAGGCACATTGCAAAGAGGACTAAGGAAAGGTGGGGAGGGAGGTTATGTACAACAGTGACTGAATATTTTTTCAAAAAGTGAACTTGGGGAAAGGGAAGGAAGAGGGGATAAGCAAAGGGAAGGAAGAGGGGATAAGCAACAATGAATAAATGGAAATCTAACTTTTCTGTAAACTTTCACTAAAATTACAATTAAAATAAAAAATTTTATTAAAAAACCAAAACATGGTCTTTACCAATAAATGCATCCAAACAGATCTTTTATGCCAAGTAGAGAAGTACTAAGACTCAGCAAGATTTACAACATACCTTTCCTTTAAGGCCACAATAGCATCTAACTTCAAATTAGGCGTTATTATAAAAAATACAGTGCTTTAAGCTCACCTGACAATTGTCTTTAGGTAACATTGCTTGCACAAAAATGATAGGTACTTCAGTGTTAGCAGCACAGAAATTCATTCTAATAGATAATGAATGATGCAATTGTTTTTATTTATTTTAAATTTGAACTTTGCCTTTTTTTATTATGATCTGAGTAAAAGTTTACCAAGTCCATTGGTTTTTACTTTAATTATTCATAATTTTTTTTCTAACATTACCTGCAGCATTCACAATGTAATCAACTCTTCCCACTTCCTCCCTGTAATTTTCATTCTCAGTAATTCTACCACAATTGTTTTTCAGATAAATAATACTGTAAGCCAAACAGTTCTTGGTAAACTGTTATTTTTACTTCTCTTAAGTAAATACAGTGACATTCATTCGCTGTAAAAATTTTAAGACATGTCTTATTTCGAAAATTATATTTACATTGTTGTTGTTGTTTAGTGCCACTGAGTTATAGGCGACTCATAGTGACCCTATGAACGAAAATCCTCAACATCTGTGTGACTTTCATCCTTTCTCCAGGTTCATAGGATTTCTGGAGGCAAGCTATTACAAAAGTCAATGCCTCTCCTGCTTCCAAGCTATTTTTACATTAACCTTAAAAAAAAACCCCAAACATCTGACAAGTGAAAACTAACCTCGGGTCCTGAATTGATAGTCAGGAAACTTTCCACAGCGGTCAAAGTACCTGTAATAGTAGAAGAACAGTAAGAGTACAATCAGATAAAATCTACTTACCCAGGACAAGTAATGACTTACCGTCATTCATTTGGGAACCACTTTTACTAAGCCAGTGGCTGAGATAATCAAAGAATCTGTACTATTAACACTGTTTTTAAACGTCTTAAGCAACAGCCAGGAAAATTCTTAGAAAGTCTACCGCTGGTCATGACAAAATATTTTCTAGTATTTAAATTGACAACATCAAAACCTTCTTCCATTAGACAAGAATTTTAACTTATGGGATATTTTAATTATGGGATAAAAATAGAAAACCAAAGCCAGAAAAAAAGGAGAGAAATCCGTAACTTTACCATGAAGTTACAACAATTAAAACTTAAGTTTCTTGAGACAAAAAAGAGAAACATAATGAGGCTGATGAATTCATAAATTCTGACCAGTCTGTAACATCCACTCCATAAGTGTTCCTAGTTTCACATGAAAACTACAGACCTCACAAAGATAACACTAAGCAAACGGACCACACTGTGAACACTGGTGTATAATCATGTTGTTGTCAGCCAGCAGCCAGCCCCTCCAGTGTGAACACCGGTGTACAGTCATGTTGTCAGTCATAGCCAGGTCCTCCAGTGGGTTTCAGAAGCTGTGAATTGCATGGGGGAAAACCTATCTCATCTTTCTCCTGAGGAGCATCTGGTGGATTTGAACTGACTGCCTTTGGGTTGCCAGGGCAACTCTTTTTTTTTTCTTTAATTAATTTTAATGAAAGTTTACAGACTTTGGATTTCCATTCATTCATTGTTGCAGTGCAACTCTCTACCCATTAGGTCACTAGAGCTCCTTCACGTATAGTAGACGGGAACTAGAGCCATATATATGTCACCCATTGGACCACAGACAAAATAAAAAAAACTGGTTATTACAACAAACTTACTGAAGAGGATTCTGAGGGTTGTTGCTGAGATAATATGGACAAGACATGTTACTATACCCCTATTCATAGAAGAATTAATCTAGTATGATTATTGGGAGGCAGACAGAAAATTAATGGAGAGACAATGAACACTATTGGAATTGGAGAAGGGAAGGACACTGTGGAATAGACATTATATGCATAATAATTAATATTATGGGACAAAATATGTATGAATGACTGGTAAAAACCACATGATATGCTGGACAATCTCCTTCTGTGTGATTTACTGCTTCTGAAAACCCACTATGGGTCAGAGATGGGTCAGTTCCAACTTAACGGCACACAACAGCAATGCTTTGCAAACATTCACAGAAATTTTAAAAAGTTGAAAAGAGAAAACATTTTACTAAGACTTATAAGTCAGTATATGGTATATATTTTTTAATTTTCAAATATTTTTCTAGGCTACAGCTTTACCTTTGATCTTCTGATGTGACGATCATATTGTTTGTTAATATTAAACTTTGATCTTGATATCTGATTTTTTTGGAATGTCACTGGATATTTATTAAGATTTATTAGCTTTCTAAATTTTTACTTTTCATTTTCATTAAAAGAATGGGGAGATATCTGTTGCTTCTTATCCGGGGTTTGGTTTCAGAATTAATTTTTTATCTAAACACTTGCCATATTTTGAAGCTATAAAATAGCTTATGTCAAACTAGAGTTAACAGTTATAGGTGATTTTTGGTTGTGGTCATTTTGGGTTTTTTTCTTGTAGTTTTTGGTTATTTTTTTTCCCTGTTGTATACCAAAATCAGATCTGACTGGCAAAGAAGAGTTATAGATCATCATAAAAAAGATGACATTAAAAAATATTCATTACATTAGTAATAAGAATGATTTCTTCCATTCTTAAATTATTGCTTATATTTTATAAATGGCATCAAAAGACAATTTCTTTGTTCAATACTTTCCAGCAAAAATTGTAAACCTTTTCATTGACATATCTGCACAAACTATACTTCTGCAAGTGTTAATTCCTAAAAAAAAAAAAACCAAGTTTGAATATATAATGGCTGTCTAAATTTTTTTGCAGAGATTTTACAGTTCTCATCATACCTTAAGGAACTCTAGGAGCATGTTGGCTAAAATACTTGGAGGCTGTGTTACAGCAAATTACTTAATATGGCTTTCCCATCCATGGTGTTTAATATCACATGGTTGAGTTGTTGTTAGGTGTTGCTTAGTCAAGTATAACTCACAGCAACTCTAAAAACAGACGTGAACCTATCCTATCCTGTGCCATCCTCATCATCTCTGACACACTTGAGCCCACTGCTATAGTCACTGTATCCATCCACCTAATTGAGGGTCTTCCACTCTTTCCCTGACCCTCCCTCCACCTTTTGAAATGTGATGACCCTTTCCAAGGAACAGCTCCTCCTAGCAACATGCTCAAAGTATGGGGTAGGGGGAAAAAACTTGGCCCATCAAGAACAGCAGAGAGCTTGTTATAAAGTAAACAAAGTAAAGGGAGATCTGGTGGTCTAGTGGCAAGAAGCTGCACTGCAATTCCGAAGGCATGCCGTTCAAATGCACCAGATGCACCGCTGGAGAAGGCGGGTCAATCTCTTCCTGTGCCAGTCGAATCCAATTTGACATACACAATTTAAGAAAAAAAAAAAGTGAATGGCATCTCTGAGTGGGCCCAGGAATAAGATGTACAGACACTTATACTTGAATGGGTCAGTTTTGTCATCTTACCAGTTTAAAACGAACTGGCTCAGGAGTAGGAAACAGGACTCTCACTAAAATAAGAAAGAACCAGAGTGTGCAATGCATTCTTTGAACCCGAGATTCCTGCTCCAAGCAGAGATGAGATGACATAATAAGAGACACAGTGATGGCAGGCTAGAGCAGGAGAGACTGAAATGAAACAGATCTCCAGGTTCTGAGCCCACAGGAAAAACAAGCAGAGTGCTCACTTGGCTTCTGAGCACTCGGCAGGGGAGCAAGGACTGCTGATCCACAAAGCAGAATCAAGTCCTTCTGGGCCTAAGTTTACCGGCAAAGTAGGAGTGGCACATAACTGGCAGAGTGAAAGGAGCTTTTGTAATATCTGTCAGAGCAGGGCAGAGGCCAAAGGCCACAGGCTAGGGATCAGAAAAGCCTACCTGTAAGCACAGTTGACAGGGAGCTGTCCTGACTGAGGCTGTGCTGAGTGTCACTGTACCTACCTGTAACTTGTTCTTTCCCCAATAAGCTCCATCATTTTAAGTATTGTCTGAGTCTTTATGAATTCTAGAACCTTGTAAGGAAGCAGTAACAGCTGTGGGAGGGACAGCTGTGGTTAGAATTAGCAGAAGGCATGGAACATGGGAACACTTCTGACTTCACAGGAATTGGTTTTGTGCTATGCTGCTGTTGGTAAGGATTCTCCTGGCTTGTGAAGTTGGCAATGATGATTACTACCATTTCTACATGTGCTACACTGTTGCCACATTGCCAAATCAAAGGCCAATGGTTCAAGCCCACCAGGCACTCTAAAAATCAACAGTCTTGGAAACCCAATGGTTCTACTTCGCACTTTAGGATCAACCATGATAATTAAAACAGTAATGAATCTGAACAATAAGTAAGTCAAAACAATAGATAATTCCTCATTTTAGAACATTTATAAGTTTTCATGTCTTGAAAAACAGTAGTGTCAGTAACATTATAAATATAGCCTTATTAAAAGCACGGCAAGTTAACATTAGCCATTTCTGTGTTTCATTTCCCATTCAGGTTTTCTTTAATTAAACTTGTTGTTATATACTGTCAAGTTGCTTGCAATCATAGCAACCCTATGTATAAGGGCCCTTAACCCTGCACTATCCTGTGCCAATCTGTCTCTGACACACCTACTCCCACTACCCCAATCACTGAATCGATCCATCTCATCCAGGGTCTTCCTCTCTTGCACTGTCTCCCCAGCCTCCCAAACATGATATTCCCAAGGACCCCTCCTTGCAACATGTCCAAAGTATGTCAGACGAAGCTTCAGAATCCTTGCTTCCAAGGAACAGCCCGGTTTTACCCTCACCAGGTCAAACCTGTTTGTTCTCCTACCAGTCTATGGTATATTCAACACTCTTCCGCAGCTCAAAGGCATCAATTCTCTATCATCCCTAGTCATTGTCCAGCTCTTTGATGAATAGTACATAATTGCTAAGATTATGGCCTCGATCAGGCACACCTTAATCTCCAGCCTGACGTCATTGTTCTTCAGTACGCTGGAGAGATCCCTGACAGCCGACTTTCCCAATGCAATTTGTCTCTTGATTTCCTGGCTGCTGGTACCAAGAGTACTGACTGCGGAGCCAAGCAAACTAAAACTGTTAACAATCTCAATCTCTACCATCCATTATAATGATGCCAATTGGTCCAGTGATGAGAATCTTTGTTTTCTTGATGTTGAGCTTCAATCCATATTGAAGGCTGCAAGTAGTTCTTGACTTTCTGCAGCAAGCACTTCAGGTCATCCTCAGCTTCAGCAAGCAGGGTTGTGCCATCTGCATAACGCAGGTTGTTGATGAATCTTCCTCCAATCCTGATGCCCCATTCCTCCTCATACAGCCCAGTATCCTGGATGATCTGTTCTGCATACAGGTTGGAAAGGTATGGAGACAGAATACATCCATGGCAGACACTCTTCCCAATTTTGAACCATGCAGTGTCTCCTTGCTCTGTTCTGATGACTGCTTCCTGGTCCAAGTATAGGTTTCGCATAAGCACGATCAAGTGTTCTGGGATTCCCATTCTTCTCAGAGTCAACCACAGTTTGTTATGGTCCACACAGTCAAAAGCCTTTGCAGTCAATGAAACACTCTGATAATCTCTTCTTTCTGCCAAGATCCATCTAACATTAGCTACAATTTCCCTAGTACCATGGCCTTTTCTAAACCCAGCCTACACATCTGGCAATTCTCTACTGACATGTTGCTCCAGTCGTTTTTAGATAATTTTCAGCAGAATCTTGCTTGCATGTAATACTAATATTTTTATAAACATGAAATCCTTCTTCTGTTAAACTCAATTATTGCTTATTAATAATTAATAATTACCATTCATTTTGTTCCGGGTATAGATGACTCCCAGATCTGCTGGAATAGAGTCAAAGCCACTGCTTCCAATGATATAAACCCCCTTTTCTGCAGCTTTCTCATGATACTTCCAGTACATTAGTTCCAAAAACTAAAAAGTCCAAGAGACAAAAAAAAAAACACAACAAAACTCAATCAGAACCATGTAGAAACATTCACAGCCAATATTGACTTATCTTTAAAAACAATTAAATTTGGAAAATTCACTTTGCATTAAACTATTAACTGTTAAATCTATTTTCTATTTGCTGAAATATTTACTGCACACCAGGCAATAGGAAAGATACAGTAATTTGAATGACACTGTTACAAGAGAACAAACAGGTTTGTCCCGGAGAGGGTGAAACCAGGCTTCCCACTGTAGGCAAAGATTTTGAAGCTCTGTCTCATATACTTTGGGCATGTTGCTACAAGTGATGAGTCCTTGAAGAAGTACATCATGCTTGGAAGGGTGGAGGGACAGTGCAGGAAAAGACCCTGGATGAGATGGATTGACACAGTAACTGGGATAATGGAAGCAGGTATATCAGAAACAGTAAGACTGACTCAGATAAGGCATGGTTTAGAGCTAACTGTACATAGGGTCCCTATGAGTTGAAGGCAACTCAATGGCACATAACAATGACATTACTTTTTAGTAATGACTTTTAAAAATGAAAAGTATAGGAAAACTGTGGGACATCCACACATACTATGCAGCATTAACACAATGAACTTGTAAAACACTACATGACATGGATGAGTCTAGAAGACATTATACTAAGTGAAATACCTCAGTCACAAAAGGACAAATACTGCACAGGACCAGTGTTATAAAACAGAACACTGGAATGGGAAAAAGGAGGGACTATCTGAAGGGAATGGATGATTAGACATTGCATGTATGTCAACTGAGCATCTGGCACGAGACATGAATTATAAAGTGAATGGGAGGAATGCATCAATCAATGAAGGAAAACCCATCTTTTCTGTAAAGTTTCATAAAAATCACAATTAGATAAAAAGCACATCTAACATAGAAACCTTCACTGAAGGTGATGAAAGAGAAGTTCAAATTGCTCTGAAGGAATTGGCAAAAAACAAGGCTTCAGGAGTTGACAGCATACCAACTGACATATTTCAACAAACAAGACACTGGCCTGGATGTGCTCA